AATTAATCATTTTTATTAATATTTTATTTTTATTAATTTTATATATTATTATTTTTAAAATTATTTTTAATTATGAAATCAATTAATAAAATTTTTTGATAGATCATATTTTTTTGAAAATTGCTTATTTTTATACATGTATAAATTTTTTATAATATTGTTATCCACGTGTCAAAATATACCAATATATCATTAATATAATGATGCAAGAGCTTTAATAGTAGAAAATAAGAATTAGGAGTTATTTAAATGAAATAGTAGTATATGAGTTTAATTAAATTATTTTGAATACTTAAAAGATTTTTTTTATATTTTACCTAAATGTGTTAATTGGTATTGAATCAATCTGATTTAAAAAAAAAATTATTTGACTTACTAATTTATTATGTAAATTACTAATTTATAATAATTTAAAGTGATTTAATTATAAAATTAGACCGATTGTAACATCGATTTATCGTGATAGATCAGTGATCAGATCCGATTTTGACAAAGTCCTAGTGCAAAAATTTGGGGAATAAAGGAAAACAAAGATCATTTCTCTATTTTAAGCATAGCCACACAGGCCACAGCCCATGAAATCCCAATTGTCAGTTTGTCACCATCCCTTCTTGGCCTTACTGCCTACTTTCTAAAATATTGATGCAATGAAACTGTCTTTTGGATGTTGATATGGGCTTGAGAAGAAAAAGCAGCCAACAGCCAAGGAAGCCCAATTTTCCTTCCTTGGAGGCCATCAAACCATCAACAGGAATTGTAATCCATTTTCAATTTTCTTTTGGACTATTGCCCATTGGAGGGTTCAGAGTTGGGTTTGTTTATTGAAGAAGTTTCCACTCCGAGATTTGACTGACAACAGAATCCAGGAGCTGGGCAGGAACTGAAGAAAGGACGGTACAGATTTATACCCAGTAACTGTTCTAGAGAGGGAGAGACTTTACCTTTTTCACCAATGAGTTGATAGTTGATGGTGAATGGAGGTGGCTGAGACAAAAAGCTTCCCATCGCATGCTTTTTTCAATATCCTTTTTTTTTTTAGTGTTACCCCCATAGCCAAGTGATGTTCGACTGCTATTGCCTTCCTACAAAATGGGTTTATGCAAGTCAAATTTGCCATGAATTTTTTCTTTGTTTTGGCAAAAATTTTGACTGGAAATAGGGCAAGACAATTTATTTGTGCCCCAACTTTGAAACCCACTTTTCCATCTGTCTTGCACTATTTTTTATCCTCTTGTTTGATAAGAAAAATACACATCAGTGAATTTGGTGATTGCATTCAAACTTTAAAACCGACTTCCTCTTAAAAGTTACTGTTTCATGTGAAGCAAAAGCCATTATTGCTTTGCTATAAGCAGGTTTCACATGCCAACGATAATGAAAAGTTTTATAATAACAGTTACACAAATGATAATAGTTAGATTAAAGAAAAACAAAAGTAGAAACATGTACCAATAAAAAAAAAAAAAACGAAGCAGAAGCTAAACATATTACCTTTTTAAGAACTAAAGATTGTTAGTCAATTATGTTCATGGTTGCATACTTCAACTCGGAAGATCAAAGTGACTTGGGAGTTCAAAGTATACTGAAACTTGGAAAGGTAATTAGGGATATTGATTATAGAAGTTAGTATTTTTTTGCTTATTTATCTTTCTCTTATTATAAAAAAAAAAAAGCAGGAAAAGCAGGATTCAGGTTTTGCTTGTGATTTTCAAATTTTCATGATCAGATTCAGCTACTTCATGTTGAAAAGTGAACTGATGAATGTGTGATTTCGTTCTGTTTCAGTTCAAAATTGCTAAAACTGCTAAAATTCACATTTTAGAAAGAATAAAGCATTCAGCCAGTTTGCATTGGAATAAAAAGTTTTCTATTTTCTAAACAGCATTGGCAACACCATTTTCACCGCTGTTTATTAATGGCTCTATCTGTCTTGGTAAGGGTGCCCAGAATAATCCCAAAAGTGGCATGACAGCCAAAAGTTATACTGTCTCATGTTGCTAACAAAGGAATGTGAACATTAAATATGCAATCACTGTTGAGACTGCCAACTTAAGAATGTTTAATATAGAAAACAAGAAGAAAGAGAGAAGAGAATCCTATGGAAACCCTAACATAAAATAAATGAAGACAATAATATTGAGGTATTCAAATAAAGCAACCAAAAGCTGAAAGACCCAACTAACTACAAAAACACACTCAAACTTGCCATCAATGCAAATCATTAATACCCCAATTCACATTTTTTACATTCCTGATTGACTATTCATAATAATTATCATAATTATATATATATATATATATGATATTATATTGCACATTGATAGATAGTATTGTCTAACCTAATCATGCAAACTCATTTGCTATTGGACTAATCAGCATAAGACAATCATTAGTTCATATGATAAATCTCTATTTAGAACTCGAAACTTTCTAAGTTAAAATTTTAAATTTAATAATTGAAAATCTTTTTTGAATATAAATATCATAATCATAACAAAATAATAGTAATTACAAACAAATTTTAAAGAAATAATTGTGTTTCCCTAACATATCACATATAGTATATTTTAGTTAAAAAAATTGTTTCTTTTTTATAATCTAATTATTCTCATGAATGAATCATAAAAGAACACAGGAGAACAATGGCATTAACATTAAAAGTTAACAAAAGTCTAATTAAAAAAAAGGAGAGAATCCAATTTTTCACGTACAATGAGCGTATAACCATAAATGCAAAAAAAAAAAAAAAAGAATTAATGATTAAGATTCACCGCTACTTCCATGTTGCTTTTGTACTTGAACTTCAGCTTGATGATGCTCCTCTTTGATTTCTTGTTGTGTCTCCTCTACAGGCACCTCCTCCGCGGACAGCGGCGGAGGCTGGTCGACCCGACCGTCCAGGCAAGAGGAACATTTCCTCTCAACCCAACCTTCAAAATCGTACTGACCATGGCCCATGATAGGACGCCCTGAACATAGCCTTCCAATCATGCCAGCTATGACTCCGAGGATTGTGATCACTGCGAGAACGGCTATTACGGGTCCAACCGACCAATGACCCGTATGGGCCGTGTAGGCTTGTTGGTTCACTCCTACTGGTGGTTGCTGCTGCTGCTCTAATGGTGTAGACATCACCAAAGAAAAATGGAAAGTGAGAAGTGCGGTTTTGTTTTTTATCAAGTTTGGATCATGAAAAAGAAAAGAGGAAAAAAAATTAGTGGGGTTTTTAAAGGGTTTAGAAGAGAGAAAACTGTTGTGCTAAAGAAGGAAATGACAAAAAAAAAGTTGGGGAAGGGGGAGTGGCAAAAGGAAACCCTTTTCAAATGAAAGAGCTTTTCTCTTTGAATTCTGACAAGTGTGCTGCAAGAAATAGTGAAAACCTAATCAAAAGTTACTTTTGACTTATTTGACAAACATCGAAAAGTCCCAAACAACTTTAATGAGTGAATGTCCAAAATAAGCTGTTGGGAAACTTTGTAAAAGAAATATAATTGGAAAAGAGACTATTTTCAACTACATTTCTCCATATATGACCATGAATTCTGCAGTTCAAATGCATGCCAAAACATTAGTTTTGGATTATGTCCATTACTATAGTTGAAGATTTTCCCCTTCCTCCAGTTTGCTGAATCTACAAAATTCTTTGACCACAAAGAGCTCACATGCAGTTTTTATTATACAGTTTCTGTGACTTTTAATAAATAAAAAAAGCATAGAAAGTTGTATTCTTCTTTTCCTTTGCTTTCTCTAGTTTCAACGAGGAATTGCTTTTTGGATGGAGCCTTAGCTGCTTTGCTCGATGAGACAAGGCAGCTCATTTTTAGTTTCTTCAAAGTTGTTTTCATTTTTAAAGGGGCATTGGATATGGATGGCTCTGCCTTTCTTAAAGGTCAAAAAGTCAAAACAAAATTATGGGATATTATTTTTATATTTTGAATTACCGAAAAAGTTGAAAATAATGTTCAAACATTAGGCCAATTGGTCCATCTCTTTCTTTTACACCCATTTCCCAACCATGAGTAGCTGGAGCCTCAGAGATGGCCAGACGAGTGATGGTAACGGGTCATATCGGATCTGATTCGATAATTTTTTTTATTTATTATATTCGAATTTAAATTTAATTTGATATTATACAAAGTTGTATTTTATTTGATTTAATCTCAAAATAATAAATATTTTTTTAATATAAAATATTATTTTTAATATAAATATAAAATTAAATATATAATATATATACAAAATTAAATAAATAATTAAAAAATAATTTTTATATATATCGAGTCAAGTAAGATTTTGTTTGCTTAAAACTCGATCTCAGTTCGATCTCGAATTTTTTCTTATATTATTCGATTTGATCCGATATCTGATTTAAAAAAAAATTAATCCTAAAAGGTTTGATCAAATCAAAACCCATCAAATTCAAATTAGATTACTATCTCTGGACCAGACATATGTGCATACATTTGTATCAAATGATTAATTTTTTCTCCGAAAATCTCTCTAATTAAAGATGGGGAAGTTAATGTTAGCAACAAATGGTGTATTTTGGTAATATTTTGAATGCAAAGAAAATTATTTAAATTTAGTGAAAATAATGTATTAAATGAAAATTCTCCTTTTAAATAGTATGTTTGATATACTTGATCAGTGTCATATGAATATTAACTCAAATCATATATATAGTTTCTTTTGGAATTTGAGTTTATTGTAAAAGAGAAAGAAAAGGAATTATATGACTTATACAAATCTTGGGCACAAATAGTAATTTCCAAAAATGTTGCAATCATGGTTCTACAGGTTTAATGCTGCCAACCGTAAACCATCAGAGAATCACCTAATCATAAACGGGCTGGTGATGAACAAACAATATTAAGCTGCATTTCAAAGATGAAAACAATGTTCATTGAAAATGATTGAATGATGAATAATGAAAGGGACATAATAAAAAAACAGTTAAAAAAAGATATAAAATTCTTTAAATCCAGCAAAATGGTTAAATCCTTAATGTTTGAAATCAGAGAATACATCCATGAGTGATGATGATGATGATGATGATTGTTCATGATATACAATAGTTTTGAGGCATCTTAATATACAAACTAAAGACAGACAAAGATGGATATTTGAGAGAAAAGATGGGTGTTTTTGAAAGACAAGGACAGAGATCCCAATGGGGGTTTGTACAAAGGTTGGTCAGGCATCCAACAGGTTTCCTTTATATTTTCCTCTTTGAACCCAATCACTCCTTTTCGGCTTCTTTATTGAATCTATATGCGTTTGAGCCTAAATCTTCTCCTCAAAACTCAAAAGAAACCTGACATTTATCCCAAGTGAAAGTGGAAAGCCAAAGGAGGTGTTAAAAAAAAAGCATAAAATAAAATATGTAGCTGAGCTGGGTGGACTACAGAGTTCTTGGAGAATGATTAATCATACATCTAACACAGGAACACCAAATTATTATAGTTTATTGACAATCTTGGTGCTTTGATCAAACTACATAAGCTTCGTACATAGACCAGCATTATAAGTTCACAGACCCACAGTTCTTTCTGATTTGTCCCTTTTCCCCCGTGAGTACACCAAGATTGCCAAGCCTGGCCATTGATTTAGCAAAATCATTCCAGAAAAGAAAATACTTGGAGCTATAGGAATTAACCATGTCAGCAGTTTTTGGATCTCCCATTAGTGCTTGATCAGATTCAAGAAGCCCCTTATTGTTGACAAGGTTTGTGTAATACATATTGTCAAATCTATAGGCACTTGCAGAATCGAGGGGAGCGAGATTGCTGTTTGAGGTGTCCATGTTTGGACACATTCTTTGCAAGCCATCGAGGGCTGAAGCATCGAGCGTGGGGTCAGGCTTACCAGAGCCCTGGAAGTTGAAAAGTCTTCTCTTGAAGGTTAAACATTGAGCATAACCTATGGTATGAGCTCCTGCAATAAACATAAAAAAGATAAGGCATCTATATCAATTTCATTTGCCATACCACTTTATTAGATATCTTTGGAGACCTTATTTAAACATTAAAATGAGTCAAATTTTCTGATTTATAGCAGAAATGGGGCCATTTAATGCTGTATGTATGTGGCAGTATTAAGGATCATAAATGTTTGACTATCATTTTTGGTGATGCTTTATTATCTGTAATGGTCCACAGGACCACCACTTTGCACTTTGCAGGAACCTTCTCACTTTCAAATGTCATGGAAACAGAAAGGAAATCAATTTGGTAAGGAATAAGGACTATCCTCCAATTTGAAAAGGAAAAAGGAAAAAGAAAAAGAAGTCAAGCATGAAAGTATAAGCCAAAATGATTCAGAGCAATTTGTTAAGAAAAAGAACCTGAGAGAACTACAACATCCTTAAGGTCAAGACCCTTTGATGTGAATTTGGCAATGATATTCTCCAGAGGCTCAAAAGGTGATGGCAATTGTTCATTAGCCGCCTGCTGACTAGCAGTTGTTCCATCTCGTCGCCCAAGCATTACTGGCCAGGAAGGCCCTCCTGACTAACCAATAAAAATAGTAGAAATGAAAAAGGAAAAGGAATATAATTATAATTAATGAATATGAGAATTGACTCAGAAAGTTTATAGAAGCTATAAACATAAAAATGCCAATTACCAAGACAACAGCTTCCCTTGCTGCAAGAGTCAATATATCAACACATGAAACAGTTGATGGGCAAAACCTTTCAACATCCGTTTTTATATTGTCAATGACATCATAACCTCGAACAGAGTTACGGTTTGGAAAGGCATTCTTCTCGCCCTTGAAATCTTCTGTGTCATCAAGAAGCACTGATGCGTCACAGCCCTATGCCAGAAGGAAAACTCTTAGTAGATTTAGTAAACACTAGACAACGAAGTAGAGCCCAAATTGACATGTTCAAAATATAAGGTGTAAGTAGAAGACTATTAAAGGATAGATTACTTCTCCTTCAATGTCCCCTTGCATTATATTCATCAACTTAAAGAACCTGGGATGTAGGACTCATCCAACAATCTAATAAAAATCCCCTTTTTTTCTATGATATAAAGCTAAGTGAAGCATTTATGTAACATACCATTCCTAAAAGAATCGTCTACCTATATTATGTCATGCCATGAAAATATGTTACACACTGAAAAATCTTGTAACATGAATGATATGTTTGACTAATGATTTTTGTGTCTTAAGCATCTTAATTTTGTATGTTTTTCATGTTTTCTTAGCAATTGAGAGAAACTGTTGTATTTACCAGGTAACTCGAAAGATAACCTTAGGCTCTCGTTTGATTGTTGAGGAAGTTGTAATGGGGAAAAAGAAATCACGAAATAAGTGAAGTAAAAGGAGGAAAAAGAAGAATAAAGGAAAAAGATAATTCTGCAAGCCCTTGGTTTCTAAGAAAAGATTGTAGATATAATACTACTATGATGGCATTCAACTTCCCCCCTCCTAACACCTTCTCTCTGTCTCTTGAATTTAAGAACCAGCTTATAGGTCCTATAAGTGAATCCCATCTGAATGTAATAAGCTGGGGATTCCATGCCTGTTTCACCAAATATAAGATAAGACTTCAAGCAAAAGAAGAATGAACTTTGCTATTTTACTCTTAAATTTGGTACTATAATTGTATGATGAGGATATAGAAGAAAGAGCTTCCTGCCAGAAAAGCAGTCTATGGTAGGGCTCACTCATTTTCCTGATAGTGAAACATGAAGTAAGTAAATGACAACGGTTTTAGTTTCTTTTTCCTACCAATGAAAATGGCACCTTTTATCTTTGGTTTCAATAAGATTGATAAGAGATTGAGTTATACAAGTTAAAGACAGACAAGTAAAAGGTAACAGATTCATAGGTGGTTACATTTACAAAACAATCATGAAAGTGCAACCGCAGGAGAGATGCAGCTATCCTGGTATCATTCTTGTAGGCTGCCCAGACACCGTACCTAACAATATTTGACAAGTGGGGACATGATCTCCCATAAAAATGGTAATCAAGCTGGCCATACGCAAAGGGAAAAAGAAGGACAAAGGCGAAGAGGCAGTAGCCTAAAAGGAAGAGCAAAGTGAAGTAAGAGAAGAGTTTGTGACCCATGGCCGAAGATACAATGAATATTTCTGATGATACGGTAGGCTAGTGGAGATTTATATGCAGAAGGTAGCAATGAGTTTATTGGTTAAGTTTTGAAAGTGGCTATGACACTACGTTGGTTTATTCCTAATGGCCACACCGGAACAAAAGCATCATCTCCTAGTTCTTTAAAGGTTATAACTATAAATACCTAATGACATAATCTATTTAACTTATTGTTACTTTTTTTCAGCTAATTAATCATATTTTATATTGAGATGACATAGGAATGCCTTTCATAGGAAATTTCCAACATGAAACATAAATGATTAAAAGCACCAAGGCTTACTTCTACTTCGAAATTAATGGTTCAAACAAGGGGAGTCCAAACTTGGAGCTAGATATGTTATTTGGCGTACCCTAACTGATCACGACCACCCTAATGTTAACTATAAACCAGAGATATGAATGTCCAAATTCATCCATTTCAGAGTTCACCTAACCTGAAGCAGTTTAGTCTGTGTTCATTCCTTCTTTTCCCCCTTATTGATTCATCTGGTTCCATTCACAAAATTTAATCTCCCCTTTTCACTGGAAGGCAAAGGTAACATAACTAGGTCAGCTGCAATATGCAGGAAGTGGCAGGACAAAATATAAGAAGGGTTAATTCCAGAAAGCAGATAAAGAGATAATAATAAATAACTTTGTAAATGAAGTACATTTTTTTACATTCAAATTAATGATCTATCTAATAGGCGCACTTATACATAAAATTTTGTTGTTTGGTAGATATAAAGAAAATAATTAAGTAGTCGAGGAAAATATTCATACACGTGCTCAGGAAATTCCAAAATACGATCATATGACTAGGAGCTCATATTTAGAAAGCATGCCAGAGAATTCTGCACGAGTCAACTTAAAAAAGATAAGGCACCATTAATTGATGCTTTATTAAGCCTTTTTATCAGCTTAGTAACAGTGGAAGTACAAGTGTCACTGGTGAACTGTGAAGCAGTACAATAATAAGATATTTCCACAAGCACTTTGCATAAATATAATTAGGTTGTACTAATTCAATAGATCATCCCATATAAATAAATTGAAGGAGCAGGAGCACCACTTCTATATGAAATACTGCTACCTCATAACATGGATCTTTGATTTAATTACTACTATCTTTCATTCAAAAGGAAAGAGATGAAAAGTAGAAACCAAAGAAAGCTGTTTCTTTCCATGAATTTATATGGCTGGCGAGTGGATAGTCTTAATCTACCCAAGGTGCAGAAACCACAAAACCATAACCACATTGGTTTACCAGGAAGGATTCTTATGTAGCAAGAATTTATAGATTAGTGTAAAGATCAATGCGGCATTTGTTATTTTGTTTCTTTTGGAGGAAGGAAGATTCTACAATGGAAAAGAACTAATTATTAGGGGAAGAAACTAGTAAGTGGAGCAAAAAGAATATGTGAAATCTTATAATAAACACCTCCTGTGGCATTTATTAAAACTATTATAGGTGCATGTTTTTCCTACTCAAAAAGCTAGTGGAGTTGACTAAATAAAGGCCCCAAATCTGACATTTATTACTAATATGTTTTGCATAAACATGTTTGTAAAGGGTAAATAAACAAAATGGGTAATCTACGATACATAGATCAGGCTAATGAAACAACCCGTAGAAAACTTTGGTTCATCACTAAATCTGGGTTCTCTTTTTCTTTTCATGTAACATGTTAACTCCATTAAATTTGCTTTCAGAAGTAAATTTTTGTGTTACAGCAAATATTGCACATGGAAAACAGTTAGCAGAAACAGTTGCTTTCTTTGAACAAGAGGACAAACCCATGCCGACGTTAAAAGGCAACGAAAGGTTTTTATATTTACCTTAGGAAATTGATCCAATTTGAGACCAATCTTTCGAACATGTTATCATCATATCAGACAATTTATGTTTGTGGCTTCATCATCCACTTTTTTTTTGCTGCAAAATCGCAGGATCAGAAGGCCATGACCTGAGAAAATGACAGACAAAAGAAAGTTGAATTTGATTCAAACCTTCAAGAAAAAAAAAAAACAAAGTAAAAATATATGGAAAATAAAAGTCATAAAATATTAAACTTCCTTCAAGAAAAAACAAAAACAAAGTAAAAAAATAACGATGACAAAAGATACTTTTCCTTCAAGAAAAAAACAATAAAAAATATAATAACGACAAAAAATATTAAATTCACAATTGGCCCATGCAGGTTTCGAACCTGCGACCTTCGCGTTATTAGCACGACGCTCTAACCAACTGAGCTAATAGGCCATTTGATTTGCTTTCGAAAATGTTAATATTTATTGAATTATGTATGTGTGCATAACACTCTTTCTTAGTTGGCAATATAATTAATCAATTTTTTTTTTAATAAATTTACTGAGATAATTAATGTAAATCATGTTGTGAGGTTATTTCATGCTTAAATATATATCCTTATAAATAATAACTTACTTCATGAATGGCTTAAAACCTTTGAATACTCCATTATGGACCCTTTCATTAATACTCCCTTGTAGTGTTCTTATTTTTTAAATTGAATCTCATGCACAGATATCCCATGTTATTTTTCTGTTTAAATCGTGTTTGAACTTTGAAAATGCACCATTTTTATTTTTTAGAATAAGGGGTTACAGTCCTGCACATATGGTGCTAATTCACATTCACAGGCTTCACAAATAGGGAAAGAGTGAAACAAATGTAACCTTTCAATTGCATTATTCAGATAGATTACAAATTCAAAACAGAAAAATGAATCCCAACCCATACTTAACATAACCCAGAAAAATGGTGTGCCAGGAGGAAATTGCTATCAAATAGCTAAAAGAAACAGTACTAAACTATACACCTTGAATTATTATTGATAACATATTATAGGCCAGACTATGCATGGCTACTAAATCATTTCCTGCTTTCAGGATATGCAGAGCCATTCAAAATAATAGTTGGTTAATATAAGATTGGAGACAAAAAGGAAAAGAGGAAAGAATGTAGCATCCATTACTCCACAGATGAACTTAATGGCTTGCCTCGCCCTATGGTGAAGCCCCTGGTTCCATCTGGCATTCTTGGGCCCTTTGACGTCTGTTTCGCAGATGCCTCACACTGGACTGCGTTGCTTGGTTGAGGAGATGCAGCAAGCAGGCTACGTCCACTGTGGTTTTGAACACGCCCACGGCCTTTTCCACGGCCTTTGGCCCCCCCCTTTTTCGATCCCACTGCATTATCCTCAGCCTGCCAGAATATAATTTTCCATGTGAGCTTGTAACGCAATAGTCTAACAAAAATATGGTTTCAAATATGACTCTTGATCTATAGTTAGAAACCATAATGGAAATGGTTAAACAACATTGATGCTTACATTATTCTCAATTGATTCAATATTGTTTGGTCGAGAGGAATCTTCAGAGTTTTCAGTGAGTGGTGAATCATCCTCGTCTAATATGCCATCAAATTCTGATTTTCTGGTTTTCAGAACAGATTTTGGCTGTATGTTCATTCCAAAATAAAAGCCGTCAATGGTTTTCATAAAGCTGAATCATGAAAATAGATCATATATGAAAGACTCAATATTATGAAGATCTAGTTTAGACATACCGTGAGTCTAAGCAGCAACCTTACTCGGAGGCCCTTTCTCCAATTCCTTTCATCATTTAACTTCTCAACCTGGGGGCAAATAAATAAGCTCTGAATGGCATTGGAAAACCGGAATTAAGGTATGGAAACAAGTCATTAGAACCTGGAAGTTCTAGCAGCATTACTGCATTAACATACCGCTTTCTCAGCACTCTCTGTTGAATCATACTCCACAAGTGCATGTAGCTTAAACAAAATGGAAAGAAAAAGGAATTATGAGGGAAATCGTCCAATAATCTCTAGGCTTAAATAAGAATACAGGTTTGATTCTGAACTTCATACCTTGTTACACATAAAAAAATCGCTTTTAGAGCGGGAAGGATTGGATTCCTGGGGATGACATATTCGGATGTTCTTCACACTGTATCAGAACACTATGAGTATGGGCTGCAACAGAACCCTTCTGGACATACAACATACTAGAAATTGAAATAGAAGTGATAAAAAACAACCTCCCTACGACATTGAAAATTTTGTCAAGGTTTTGATGAGAATGATCTTCAGGCAAATTCTCTACAACAACAGTACGAGACTGAAAGAAAAAGACAAGGAATTAAGGTTGCATCATGCAAAAAGTGACCAAAAAACTAAAGGAAAACAGCATGTCATTTAAGAAATTTCCCATATTTTACCTGCACTTCCTCTCTTTCTTTTTCAGTGAAAGGGTGTTTACGTCTAACCTTCTTACCATCATCACTCACAACCTTTCAGGCACAACAGAAGAACAAAGCTATTACTTCAATGAAACTAAAGAATGCTGTAGATTACTTTTACTTTTCGTATGTTCAAAAAGAATAATGAAACTAAAGAACTTACAAGCTTTGAGGAGGACCGAAGTGCTTGGGCCAGCAACTGGTTGTTAGTGATGAGGGACTTGATTTTCTTTGTAGAAGTAATAAAAGATATGGGCACTAAAGCACAGCCAATACTAATCAGTTAAAACTGTTTCAATTGAATATCATAACCACTGCTAGAACCAGAAATTTCCTTACCATAACCTTCAGGATCTTTATTTATTTGCTTTGACAAGGATTCATTCGATAGAAGACTCATGTCACTGAACTGGTATTCCACCTGTTTTATGCAAAGTATTAGGATCGTACTTCTATTTTCGCAGCCTGAATAGAGGAAACAAATGGGGGCTATAACCATTGCACATGCAATGTGGAAAATCTAGCACTCTAGGGAAATTCATTAAAGATTCCCACAAGAAAAAGGCATACAAACTTTCATTTTCATCAGTTTACAGTGAATATTTCGGTGATAGGAACGACAGTTCATCTTAAGCTATGCTCAGATGATATTTAAAACATGTTCTGAGGATGAATGAAGAGCAGTAGAAAGAGCTTCTCTTTGATTAAAAGAAAATTTTCAAGAACTTGTCTTTTCCAGAACCAGAAATTAGACTGTGCGCTTGTTGCACAAATGATTTGAATCTTTATTAAATCTGGAAAACTGGAAAGCCAAACAAACAGGCTACTTCTAAACACAAAGCAAAACTGACTAAGCACTAATTGGGCTATGCACTTTTGTTACTTCCCTTTTGTACTAGAATCAGAAAGAAAAATTGGCAATATAAGCAAGAGAAAGATGCAAAAGAATCTAAATCAATTACGTGGGTCGATCCATTTTGTTAAAGGAAATATGACGGACAGGATATGGCAAATCCTATCATTCTCGAACATGATCAATCACATCGATAAACTAAGCAAATCAAGAAACCAATTGATATAATAAAAAAAAAAGATAAAAGATGACCTGTTTGATGATCTTTTGGCGGAGATCATCTGTGAGCAAATTCTTGGAAGAACAATTGGAGATTGAGAGATTAGGATTAGAGATCAAATAAGCAGCAGGTTCTTGATCACCAACAAAGAACCAATCAGACCCAGCAGCACCACCAAGATAGTGGAAACATGGGTAATAATAACCCGAAATGGGCATTTGGGTATGCGATCTTGGCACGAATTCTGGTGCATGTGCATTGAATTTGAACGTTACACCGTTGCTGCTGCCACTGCTACTACCACTACTACAATTGGTCGTTGTTTTTGCTGCTGCCATGGCATCTTTCATTTGAAAGTTTTCTTGGGGTTCTTCTTTAGGCTTTTCCTCAGGTTTTGTTTGTGCCATGTTTTTTGTTTCTTTTGATCTCTTTGTTCTCTGTTTGTTTTGTTCTCCCTCTCTGTGTCTTTGTTTGGTTTGGTTAATGTCTTTGAAACTTAGATTTGATCACTCTTTCTCTCCTGAAGTTTAGTAACTGTTAAGTTTGATATTGAATGAAATCCACGTTTGGCGCCCAAATACGGAGAGAGAGGATTACTTACACCTGACATGACCGTTGCTTTTGGGGTTTGACCGGTTTTTTAAGGTTCGTAATTTGCCACCATTAGCACCAACCTTACTTTTCTCTCTCTTTGCTTTTTCTTTGCCAGTTGCCCATCCAATCCCTCATCTCATACCCCGTGTCTTGCGAGACTGATTAAGCCATTTGCACAGGAGGATTTGGCACTTGTTGAAAAGTGCCTTTGTTTGATTAAAATGAAAGACTGGACTCAATTGGAGAAATTTTCAGGAATTTTGTTGTAAAGATTTTGGTAGAGAGTAGGCAAAATGGGCTCCAGAGTCGCTTAACCCAGGGAAGCCCAACTAGCCTACATAGATGAAATTTGATTTCAGACACTAGGGCTTAAACAGTCAATGGCTCTGCTCTGCCCAAATTTGGCAGGTTGGATTTCTAGCTTAGGGCTTAGCTGTCGACATGGAACTCCTTATGTTTTTAATGGTCTAGCAATTAGTTTATGGAATTCTGTTTGTCTTGTACGGTGTTGTGTTGCACGCTCAACTATTTTATGACATGACAAATCATTTAAAAAATATATATTTCAGTACTATTTTGGAAAGTTATTTTGGGTTTTCAGTGATTGATAGCTGACAGCCTACTAACCTCCATACCTGCTGTTTGGGCTGATTTGGGAACAATCAAAGTTTTTCTTTCGTTTCCTGAACTTAATTTGGTTGAGAGAATTTAAAAAGAAAAAAAAGTTTACCATTCTGTGCCAAAAAAGAGAACAAAAATCTCACTAGACGACAACTTTGATTAATAAAATGTTTTACTCACACCACAAAATGCTTTGGATTACAGTGATGATTGAACTCATTGTTGTTTGCTCTGGCGTGGACAAAGTAAATATTCTCAACTTTGATGATCACAAACCAGTACAAAAGCAAAACACGGTGATTTTTTATCAAGATTTTTCATACATCTAGTCATTTTAGTCACAATTTAAATAAAAAATTATAAAAATGATATAAATCAAAATTTTCACCAAATACTTTCCTTTCCATTTAAAACTTTCATGATTATGCTATTCCCATGTTAGGGATCAAAATCTATGGCTGGTCTTTCAAGGAATCTTTGATAGAAATGGTTTCCTTTGTGGGACCAAATGCATATATTTTTGTTAATCTTTGTCATGTGAGTAGCTAATCTGCTTAGCTGCTGCATATATACTATTCACTATCTTCTTCTCTTAAAAAGAAACAGATTACTTATTACGGATTTCAAAATGTAATTAAGTTAACCCTATTTAGAAAGGAAATTTAATGAGAGATTCCATCATTTTCATTCACTTCTTTCATCAAACTAATTTACACTATATATATATATATATATATTACTTATGAAAGTGGACCTCTCATTGTGGGCTCCTTTCATTACATCTTGTCTACAAAGATTCTCTCCATTATTTTGCTTGTGAGAGTGACTGTTTTGTCATGCTCCTCAGATAAACATTACAACTGATTGTGTTTGTTTAGTGGGATATGACTGGCTTAGGTAAAAGGATATAATCTGGGTGTTTTGCACAATTTGACTAATCAAGAGCCTGTTTGGAGACCACATAATTGCATCAGCTGGTTCAAGCTATATATTGAATTGATAGGCTGATCATGCCTATGTTTTGCCTAATGGTGCATGCATGTTTGATATTTCTGAAAACAGAAAGAATTAAACCAACTGTGTTAGAACATATGTTTGGTTCAAGTGATAAAAGGAATTTGCTCCTTTTTTGCTTGCTTGGGTCAAATGAAAGTTGTGGGAAATTAATTTTTATGAATTCGATAAGTTCAGCATAAATAAATCTGAACCTTTCAATATATTGTATTTATCAAATAAGTTCAATCGGGGAATGATAGTCTGAGAATTTTGGTGAGCTAAATCTGGAAGGATATGCCAACTGTTTGCTTCTCACTCTTATCTTTTCAGTTTTCATTAAATATAAGAAAATTGCATCTTAGAATAATTGAGATTGTACATGACCATAAGACAAATTAGGGAATAAGAACCCTAAAATCTTCTTTCCAAGATAGGTCCGGATCTTCTGCTGTCTTCTTGTACAACCAATGCACTGTCACCCATCAATCTAAACATTAAAAATTTGGAATATCTTAAATGACAAAAAATGTTTCTTCCCATCCTGATTAGTATCATAATGACCTTAAAAGGCTCAATAATTGCCAGAATACCACTATGAACCATTAGTAACAAAAGAAAACAGATGGAGCTGTAACTGTAAGTCCAAATATTCTAAAAACTGGTAATTTCCAAAACAAAAATAGTAAAAATGAACTAGGGAAAAGACCCTGTTAAATTCCATCTACCCCGGGGCTAAACAACTGGCCTACCCCATGGGGCAGTAGAAAAATGTGAGGAAAAGTCGTTTCCTCTTTATACCTTTAATGGTTGATGATGTTTGCTTTGCTTAATCTTCAAGGTCATTTATAGGACTGCTATTCTGTTAGTATAAAAGATAGGGATCTTTTCATGGGAAAATGAAGGTGGACACCATCAATCTGTGAACAGAACAACTAACAATAGAAAGTTCTTTGTGAAAGCTGAAAAAAAAATTGAGCAACCAAAGCGGCTATTGAAAATTAATGATGGAATGTGTCTATTTTACCGCTTAATTGCCCCGGATTTGTCAAATATGAGAGGCTACCTATGTAAGTTTTTTTCATTTTTGGTTTCTTCTTGGTGTCTCTGGCAACAAGATGAAGCATTTATCAAGCTTCATCATTCTCTTCTAGAAACTCTATGAGAGCAATCACTCAACAGCTTAAGAGAAAAAGGACAGATACTTGAACTAATACTTCAAGAGGACTGGAAAGAGTGATAGAGCAAGTTATGGAGAAGCTAAAACCTCAAAGTAGTAGAAAGCACTAGCAAACATAGGTTCAATGTAATAAAGCAAGTAATGGAGAAGCTATAGCTTTATCATATGGGAATAGTGCTCATGTTTCTTCCATGAAAACATGGATCACAGTTGGAATTCTTGTACTAGTTCCGGAAGAAAACAAAAACTCGATTCAAGATCGAAGGAAAGCTAATCCTGCAAAATTTCATAGCCTCTCTCATTTCTCAAGATCCTTCTCCTTTATGTATAATATAGTAATATTATATTATAATTTTTATGATCACGAACTCCTCCCGTGTATACTTTTGTCTGCAAAATTCATGGTGGATAAACTCTGTACATCATCTTTTACAGGTTTGTGAATATGGCTTTTCCCGCTGTAGCTCTCAGATTTTGCATTTCATCATCTTCCATGCTGTCACCTCCTGTAGTGGAGGTCCCTCTAGTGTTTGTGGCCAACTGGAGAGGACCTTGAGGAGAACCAGACTGGGAACTGCTCCCATTGGAGGAATCTCCATACTGATCTTGGGACATCCACAGACCACTCCCCAAAACAACGACTGATTGATTTTCAGGGGTGGTTGTGGAAGGTGCAAGTCTTCTTGTGTGAAGTCTGTATTTCTGGAAAGTCACAGGAAAATTCTCCCATCAATATTCTTCCGTAAAAATACTTCAGAAAACCATTAATCTCTGGAAAATAGTAAGACACTGGACATTTCTTTTTTTCACTCATTTCCAGAGATCAAACTACTAAGAAAGAAGTGGATCTAAGAACCCACCTGCAAATGACTCTTAACTTCATCATTGGTCAATCCTTCTACTTGCATAAGTTCCCTAATCTGCTTTGGAGTGGCTGCTACAAAAAAAATTCAAAAACTTTGACTTAGAAACTTGAAAGTAAAAGAATCAAAGAGTTAATTGCCATGAAAAAGAACATTGCAATTCAATGATCCCAACAGAATGATTAAAACTACAGAATCTCCAGTTTCCTGTAAGTATCTTTTATCCTCCATGATCTCAAACCAAACGAATTATACATATATAATTCATACACATATCTCTTAGCCAGATTAAAAAAAAAAAATCGTGTTCGACTCTAATCTATACTTTCCTTCTCTAAAGAGAAATCAGATTGAGTGATAAAAGAAAAGAAAATTGCTATTAAGAGGTGCTGCTTCTTGCGAATCCAATCCTCCATTGACCAAACTTCTTAATTCTCATCTACTAGAACAATAAATAATCCAACTCAGTACAAGAAAAAGAAGATCCAAGAACAACAAAATCCAAATCGTCACTGGCTAAGTACATTACCAATTGACCTTCATATCCTCACCTTGAGAGCCTCCTAACTGCTGCAAGGCATTGACAAATCGGCGATGCAACTCAGGTGACCAGCACCTCCTTTGCTTCCTAGCAGTCTGCTGTTGTTGCTGCTGCTGATGGGACAGCGGCTGTGGTCCAGACCGAAAATTTGACTGAGCATTGGGGGCAGATGAAGAAACTGCTCTGCTACAACTTGTCCTTGATCCCGTAGAACCCGATTCCTCTTCCAAATTCTTGATTCCAGGAGTCAAAAGCGTTAGTACATGACCTGGTATCTCCTCTTTCTCTTTTTTCCTCACTGCAAAACCCAAATTTGCCTTTAACGGTATAAACGCTCTCGCTCCTCCCCTGTGTTTACGTCCTTGGAATGGATCTTCATCGTTTCTCTGTTGTAAACCAAGAAACAGTATTCAATCTTTAGCGAATTTATTTCATTATAAACTACACTTGTTTGGCTTAAATGTGGTGTCTTCTTTTCTTTATTTTGAGGTACCTTAGTATCTAGTTTGTGATCAGTGGAGCGACAATCATCATCATCAGTGTTCCAAAGCTGAACGGAACTCATCCAATTTTTCTTGTCCTTATTATTATTGCAGTTGTTAGAATCTTTTTCTTTTTTGGTGGTGATTAACGCCCCATCTTCTTCACTGTGATTATTTTCCTTCTTGTTCTTCAATGGAATAAATTCTTCTAAAACTGGTTTCACATTTCTTGACATACATTGCACTAACTCCTCTTTCAAAGCTACAATCGCTGCAAGCAAACAGAAAATCAAAATTGCATTTAATAAATTGATTAGAATCTCCAAACGACCAAAACCCAAGTTACAGAAACTTACTATTTTAACCAAAACGATCAAAAAACCAAAAACCAAGCTGAATACATAAACGTTTTTCAATCAAAACTCTCAATCGAGAGCTGGGGCTTTTTTTCAAAAAAAAAAATCAAAAGAGAACCCATTAATAAGAAAAAAAATGTGTGATTTAAATTGATTGAAAAAACGAACCATCGTTCAAAAGGAGCATGCAAAGAGGAAGTTCACGTTTAAAAGCATCGATCTTTCTCATTTCTTCTTCCAATCCTTTGATAAAAGCATCGAGTTTTGAAACCTTGTCAGAAACGTTTCCGATTATTGAAACCTCCTTGAGAAAATTACTGATCGTTTTGGGTACAAAAGTTGGTCTAAAATCCAAGCTCAGTTCTGGTGGAACCGAACCCATTTTCGATCCCTTCTTTTTTTCTCTCACAATTCTTCTCCCTTTTCTTCTCCTTCCTTTCGGTTCTTTTCTTTTCTTTTTTATCTGTTGAAACTGTGAGGAACGGAGGTGAAATGAGGAAGGAAAGCGCTGAGATCTGTGAATGAATATATAGAGAGGGTAAAGGGATTTATTTATCAATTTATTTATTTATTTATTTATTTATAAATAATGTATGTGTAGAGTGAGAGAGAAGTGTTTGTTGTTTGGAGAGAGAGAAAATTAAAGAAAAGTAAATTTTGATTTCATGGAGGGTAGTGGTGAAATTTGGAAGGCGAAGATTCTGTTTGCGGTTTTTTGGTTTTAAAAGTCACTTTCGCGTCGTCGCATATCCTATCCATCACTCGCCCATCGGTCCGAGTTCACTCACCCTTTAACCCCAGTTAAACACAAGGCTTTTACTTTGCTATTTTTTTAAATAAAAAAAAAATTTTTTTTCCCTAATAATTGGGTAATTTCCTTTCAAAACTCAATAAATGCATATTTTCACGTCAATTAATCTGATATATCATACTCTAATACGTAATTAATAATGATTGTCAAGTTGGCATGTATAAAATCTTTAATTATTTGATAAAATAATTACGATTAATTGATTGTTTAAGGCCTAATTAACTTTTTAATATTTAAGGATGCAAGCGAGATGATATGAGGATTGAGGTGGTAGTGTATTTCCGGTCCGCATTCTAGACACAAAGGAAAAAACTTTTTCTCCATTTTCACAGTATTTAGTTGGAGTAAAGAATCCATGTTCCTCACTTTTTATTTTTAGGATTTTTTTAAATTTAATTATTATTAGTTTTTATAATTGAGATTGAAATTTATTTTATTATATTAACATAAGTTAAAGGATAGTTTTATCGTTTCACATTTAAACACAAATTTATATTTTAAAAAATTATAATATAAATAATTATGTGTATCGAAAACAAGCAAGATTAAGTTTATATTATTCGTTTTTATCTTCATTTTTTTTATCCAATGAGAATTATAAATCCTTCAATCTTAAAAAAAAAAATTTTATATAAATCCTTTTTTATTGGGGCAAAAAATAAATTTTTTTGTTAAATTTGAACAAAATTGAAATCTCTATTTTAATTATAATAGTCTTTTAAAGAATTTTTATCGGTGTCCATATTTCATCCATCCTTTAGAGCAATAAATTTTCAATTAGACAAAATTTAAATTTTAATATCTACAATTTCTTTCGTAAGTTTTAATATACAAAAAGATTAATAAACTTTTATAACTGTAATGATATTTGGAAATTTCTATACTTATAAATTACATTAAAATTTGAGACATAACCTAAACATGATATATTACTGTTCAATTAATTAGTAACTTTATTATTTTATCCTTTCCTGTGAATATTTTGTTCTTGAAATTCTTTTCATAGGTTGCTTGTTTTAGGATTAATATTTTATTTTAAAATTAATGTTATAAATAATTTTTGAATTATAATAAAATGTTTAATATATATAGTATTTGAATTTTAAATATTTTTAATATAATACTTGAATTATAAATTTATTATCTAATTTAATATTTAAAGAATTATATGTTATATATCATTATTTAAAATTAATAACGTTAATTAATTAATAAATTTATAATTCAAATATTACATTAAAAATTTTTTAATTTAAACATTATTATAATTCATAAATCATTTATACCATTAAATCCTTTATTTTATCTAAGAAAATGCTAAACCCAATTAACGGCGGCTGAACTCAAGAGACGACAGAGCCAAAGCCAGTTGTGAATTGGAATTGGAATCTCTCTTATATGGTACAAATAGTACAATGACTGCTTTTTTTTTTACCAAACTTGCCTTTTGCTTGTTGAAATTCCCAGCTCAATTTTTTTAAACATTCGGCTTTTTAAGATTCTTCAATAGTTTTGAAAATGAAAGGCCCGTTGAAATGAAAATGGAATTTCCCAAAGTCATTATTGTAATTATTACCACTTTGGTTAGGTCACTTACCTCTTTCTGGTTCAATTAATGTTTATGATTGTAATTAACTTGTACTACCATTAACTATTCAATTACTTTCCTAAAAAGTATTTTGTGAAGTGTTGATATAATTCCATGCTTACATTTATCTCTTTTTAGATGGTCCAATTTATTTCTTAAAATTCAATGTATATACATATATTTTATGTAATAAATTTTGATTTAAAAGTCTTTAAAATAATAATTTATAAAAAATAAGTCCTTATAATAGTGATTATAATAGTTAATCTCAAGCAAAGCTTTCTCTAAAAGAAAAAATTGGAAGGACAAGTTAGTGAAGAAAATGGTTGTTCAAATCCTAAACCAAGTCAAAACATCATGTCTTTTGATTGACTTTGTTGAATTCACATATGGAATGAATTGAATCATTATCAATCATCGAAAAAATGGTCTAAGCATATAGTAAAATTTAATTTTCAAATCTCATTTTGTATGATTTTTTTTTAATTTTATATACAATTTATTTAATTATATGATATTTTATTTTTTTAATAAATAAATTTTCATATAAATGTAATACTTATGCCTAATTTCATTAAAAAAATTGAATTCGTTTGTAACACTAACATATGGAATTGGTCAATTTGAATTCACCATTAAGAAATATTTTAAGTCCTTGATTGAATTTCATTGCATTTTCAATGCCATATAGTTAAACTCATTATATTTTCAGTTAAATCAAAATATCAATTTTAATAAGATAAAATTAATATAAATTTTTTATTAAAATTTTTTAATTTTTTAATCAACTTTAATAATTTTTTTAATTATAACTATAATAAATTTTATAATATTTTTAATTTTACTACAATTAATTTTATCATTCATTGAAATGAAGCCATAAAATGAATTGCAGTCATGGAAAATGGAAGAAAATATAATATATAAATAATCAAATTGTGGAAATAAAGTACTGAAAATAATAAAAAATTCCAACTTTTGATGAGAGATTGGTCAACACTCAAGGACCATTTGGTTCGTGGGAGAAACAAAACAAAAGCCACGCGATATGGAATTTGAAGGCGTAGTATTTGTCCATAGAGATTCAAACACGTGTATTATATTTATTTACCCATTATTTTAGTAATAAAATACTAATAACAAAAGGGTTTATGTTGTTTAAGATTCTCTTTTCATTTTTCAGGTTTCGAGGAGGGAATCCCCGCTTTCATACCTAATCTAGTTTAATTGGTGGATTACAAAAGTTTGGATTTTTTTTTTTTGTTGATTTCAAAATCAAAAACTTAAATATTTGATAATTTAAAATATGATATAATAATATAATATAAATATAATTTAAAAAATAATAATAATTATATGATTTTAATAAAATAAAAAATATAATGTATATTTTTATATAATCATAAATTATAATATATAATTTTTATTTAAAATATAATATAAATATATAAATTTTAATATTTATATGATATAAATACATAAATCATTAAATTTATTTGATTTTATCTCAAAGGTCCGATAACCACCCAAATCTATCTTTGGGGTTTTAGCATAAACCAGTTGTTGCCACGACAAAGAGGGAAAAGAAACCATTTTCTAATTGATTATGCTTTAATCATATCTATCCAAAGTGGTTTCCAATCCACCTATGATTTTTACAAAATTAAAGACTTCATAGGGTTTAAATTGGGTGTTTCATGCTTATTTACAAATTTTAAAATAATATTTTGAACATCCAAAAAATAATAATACTTACATATAAAAGTCAAGTGTGGTGTATCTCGACCGCCATCACTATATAGTTTAACTAACACTATTTCATTTTATTTATTTTAAAATATATATTGTTTGCAAAGAAAATAATTCTTAATTATCATCATATGATATTTCTAAAAAATTAAAAATAAGATTCATTATCAACATACAAATTCCCACGTAATATTAAATTCAAGAATTGAAAACATTAAAAAGAATTTCAACATAAAAAATGAAAAAGAAAAAAAATACAAATGTATTAATAAAAATTACTAGTTAATATTATTGAGACTACAATTTTATTTCAAATTTAATATTAATATATCAATTGGATTAGAACTTAGCTAATTAAAACCAATACCTAATAAAATTTTTAATTGTTTTCTAATTTTGTTATAAATATTAAATTAAAAATAATTTTAAAATGTAATAAACAACCACGATCATTTTATCAGTTAAAAAAAGTTTCACATCTTTTCTCTTATACATATTATAAATTATAAATTTGTATATACCATACAATAATAAAGCAATTGGTATTTTTTATTTAAATTTATTAAAATTTAAATTTTGATAATTAAAATTAAAAATTTAATATTTTATCAACAAAATTTCCGTTATTATAGACAATTATTGGTAATTGGTATAGTTTTTCATGAAAGGTTGGTAGTAGAGTTGTTGGAGGTTGGAAGCAATTTCAAAGCTGAAACTTCGATTGGAAAATGGGCACCAAACTACCCATGATTGGCTGGTGTTGAACACTTTCCCTTAAAGAAAAATGTCAAAACCAAAGAAAAAGAACGAATTTTAAAAAAATTAAAAACCAAACCCAAAAAACCGGGCTCGTTTGAAACATAGAGATAAGGAATCTTTTAGATGTTTGGGACCCAACTTTGATATTCCCTGAGATGTCAGTCGCTGTTGTAAGGAGAGGAAAGATGAGAAAAGATGCTCGCTTTTTTTCCCTAAAAAGGCCAAGCTTTTCCAGCCATTAGATTCCCCCAAAAAGAATCTCTCTCTCTCCCTCCACCGAATTCTTTCACCCAATTAAATATTTTTAATTATTCTCTCCCTCTTTACAATTTTTTTTTGGATCCACTCCCATTTTATTTATAATAATCAAATTTAAGTTGATGAGTTTTTCTTTTTTTTTTTTTTTGGGAATTTTCAATTCCATCCGAAACGTGCAGTCAGGATTGGATCCACTCCGATGTCTCGCATCTCCATTGGTTCTGTCAGTTGCTTGCAACCAAAGATTCTATTTGTGTCTGGTTTTTATGTTACCAATATTGCCCTTCGTTTTATCAACTATTATCACCTTTTTAATTATTAAACATAAATTCATTTACTACTAGTAATATTCACTGTCAAGCCATTTTGGGAAAACAAATTAAAAATTAAATCACTGTATTCAACTCAAGTAATTTCTCCTAAAATTAATTGCAACTTTTGAAAGGTAAAATGATAAAAAAAAATTTTACCACAATTATTTTGAGTGATTTTATTCTATTATCAAAAAAATTTTTCTAACAAGAATGAGATATTGTGTTCATACCGAGAACGAAATCGCTCAATTAGTAAAAAAAAAAATTTATTTGATCTTTGTAGAAAGCATTTTGAAAATAAAATGTTAAATATATCAAATTTATATGGAAAAGTGAGTTTGTAAGATTGCTTGAACAAAAAATTTGTTCCAAACAAGATCTAAAGATAAGAAAGTTTAATCATATTGATCTGAGAGTTTTTTTTTTTTTTCGTTTTTACAACGTCGAATTATGAATAAAGATAAAGTATACATTGTTACGCTTCAAATTTTATCCAAACTTTGAAGAAAGATTGATTGTTTTATGTGTCATATTGGTGAGTCTTGAGACAAGGATTGAAATGTCTATCCCTTTTCAAACTCACTTCCCGTTTTGTTTTCTCAAAGATATATAGATTAATAAGTGAAAAACTTTTTGATCAATTTTGGTTCAAAATTATCATGAGTTTCGACTTGAAAAACAAAACCCATGAAGTTCATTAGTTTTCTTTTTTTTTTTTTTTATCTAAGGTTATCAAAAATTAAAATTTGATCATTGAAATTAAAATTTTAATATTTTACTAATAAATCATACGGTTGCTGACAAATTTAATCAATAATATTCCATTTTTTTCATGGAGGTGTGCAAAGAATTTGTTGTAGAATATGGTTCCATGCATTCTCTCAAGACTTCCAAAATTGATTGGTGAATGGTGGCATGTATATCTGATTCCTCGAGATCATGATTAGAGTTTGGATGGATGGACATATAATATTCAATCATTCTAAAAATATACCACGTTTTGCTCCTTGGCCTTGCTATTATCATCCTCTTTTGAAACATGTTTACTACAGTAATTACCATACCATACAACTGTGAAATCATTTTGGTTATAAGCCAAGAATATACATATATATATATATATATAAATGTATATTGAAGCATTAAAATTGAAAATCTATTTATCAAAATTAATTTATAATTGACCACGTTTTTTTGTTAATAAATCGATCACTTTGATTCATCAAATATATATAAACCCGTTCATTATGAAGCAAATGGTCAATGAATAAAGATAGCATGATCTACCATTTCTCCATATGTTCCCCTAAAAGTGTCCATTTTCATATAATAAAGTTTTTTTTATTACATCAAGAAAATAAAATCCTAGTACAAAAAAGGGGAAGCCTGATTCGAAATCAGGCTCTTGATATTCTCTCAAATGTTTTTAACCAGTAGGCTAAAAGCTTAAAGATAGTAAAGTTTCTTTTTAGTCATGAGATATGGAGTCTTTTAGGTCTAAAAGGGTTAAGTCATGTTGCATGTTTAAATTGTATGTAGCAATTCTTTAATAATTACGTGAAATTAAAGGTATAAGTTTTTAAAAAATAAAAATGCATCATGTGTTAAATTGTTCGATTTAAAAATTGAATTGCTAGTAACAAATGATCAAGGAAAAAACTTGAAATCCTTTATGATAAAGTTAAAAATATAAAAAAATTATAATCATGATAAAATACTACATTCATATAAGAAATCATTGAATTAAATTATACAAATAAACCAACTAATAAATCAATACATAACTGAAAAACCTAATATAAAATTAGATCAAACCTACAAATAGGTAACTCTCGAAAGACATGAATTAAAAATTTAGTTATGTACATTCCAAGAAGGTAGAGGGTATTTTAATCAGTTTGATTATAGATGATGTTTTCCTTGTTATATAATATTCTTCAATCTAAGTGAATATTTGGGTGGTCAAAGAATAATAAGATTCTCTCAATTAATCCCTGCTTAGCAATGGAATTAAAAGACAAGAAGAGGAGTAGTGATAGAGAAAACAGATGAGTTCTTTGGTTTAAAGAGCCAGCTCTACTAGTCCAAAAGCATAAGAAAACAAGGGAGAAGAAAACATGAAAGTAAATCCAAATTGTGAATCTTGGTTTGCAAATATTTCATGGCTTCATGAACAGAAACCTAACAAAAATATTCAATTGGCTAAGTTTTGGGTTGCTGAAAAATCCAAGCTTAGCAAAGTTGTTTTTGCCAAATATCTACTCTACAAGCATTTATAACACATAATGAGTTGGGGTAAAAAATGATTGACCATTACTACTGGCATGCAGCTCTCTACTTATTTGACTAGCTTTATTTTTTTTCTACTATATTATTTAAGTTTAATTTCTTTTTTCAAACTATTTTAAGTACATAAAATCATCTAAAAGCTAAGAAAATTTCTTTTGATATTTTTACTTGGAGTTGGACTTTTGAAAGACAGATCTGTCAATCACTACTCATCTTCTGCCATTGAAGCTACATGTATAGGAGGTGATTGACAATGGAAGGACTAGCTGGATGAAAGGAAATGAGCTCATTTCCCTTTCACTATCATCAAGAAAGTTACAAACCCCAACTAGAAAATTGAATCCAAACAACAATTTAAGATACCTCATTTAAGAGGGTTTTTCGAACAAGACACGCTCAAATTCCTTGTCAAAAACCAAAACCCATCTTCCTCAAAAGCATCTTTCACGTGATGACAAGTCTCATTGTTTCATTCACGGCGTTTTTCTGACCCTTCTTCATGAGGGAATCTTTTTTTAAAGAAATGAAAAGATGGTTGCAAAAGATTTAACAATTTCTTGCCTCGGTTTCTAAGGATGTTTCTGTCATTTAGGGTTTTGGGTGTCTTTGTCTACTTTAAATGAGTTGTTGAGTGGCATTATTATTCGTGCTTTGTCCTTGTTAGAATCCACTTAAACCTGGCCCCCTCCCCTAACATCATCATTTTTTTCCTCCTTGATTCTTTTTTCTCATCTCACTGAACTTACCCCTTCCCAATTTCATCATCAACAGATGGATTTCAATTCTATGAAAGATAAGGAATATTGGTTTTTTTCCCACACTCATTATATGTATTTTTTATATGAAAGATCATAATTTAAATTTTTTAAATTTTAAATTTTAAATCCATTACACATCATTGATTTTATGAAATATAAAAAATTTTGATTTACTTTCATTACACTTTTATCTTATTTTAAACGAAATATGATAATTCATGTAATTATATTATTTAAAATATTAAAAATTTATATATTCGTGATATGAAATAAAAATATAAAATATTTTTTTATTTTTATAAACTTAAATAATTTTTATTAAAATTTTAATTATTATTATTTTTATATTTTTTATTTATATAAAATTTTACCACATCATCAAATCATATTTGAAAAAGCCTATGGACAGATAATTGATAATCGCTTTGATTTGACTCGAAAATGGTGGTTAAAACTGGCCTTACATTCATTGAATTTTCAGTGTAGTCAAATGATTAGTAGTACAAGTAATATTACTTCATTTGCATCAACAACTACAGTCCCACAGTGATTATTCTATCCCCTTTGTGACTCCATCATGTGTTCCACACTGGACCGCAACTCAATTTTACTTCCCTCCAAAATAATTAAAATTTGGCCCTTTTCACCCCATTGATTAATTCCAGGTTGTATAAATGGTTACTTTCAATTAACTTTACCACCGCATCAAGTTGGAACCCTTTGAAATCCCATCGAAATCTATGCTTTTTTTTTTTTTTTTTTTGAGATTTTGTTAATGTGTTCTAAAAATTAATTTTAATGCATGGAAAAAATATATTTACTTAATATGGCAACATTAAAGAATTATTTAGAGCATTCATTAAAAAAAAAACGTAATTTTCATTTTTTTTTTTATGAAATCGTATGTTAACCAATACAATTGGAGTTGATGTGTTAGGTATTATCAAACTAGTCATGGACTAGGATTTGAAGGCAGTTGGCTCAAAGAAGAAAAACGTGAAGGGAAAAGTTTTTTCTTATCAATTAAGGTTTGATTTTTGTGAGAAAATTTTAAAAAATAAAACTTTAAGTATATCAAGTCGTCGATGTAAAATAGTATGTTCTTAAAATTGATTTAAGATAGAATTAGACGTAAGTAAAGGTTGAGGAGACATTTGAGTGCATTACCAAATAAAAATAAATAAATTCCCCATACATAAAGCACTTAATTGTACAGGAAAAGTATACAATCTAGCAGTCGAAATTAAATCCCTAGCTTAGAATTTTCATGTAGTTGCCCAAATAGGTGGGTACAAGGAGAGTGCACAAATGAAAGCTTGCTAGTATGTATATTTCAATTTTTATTTGTTTTAGTTAGGGATGATAACAATTTATATTAGATTAAATTTAGTTTTTTTTTTATAATTTATAAAATTTTAAATTTTAATCTAAATTTAAACCGAACTTTTATATAATTTAATTTGAATTCTATCGCTTCCATCCATCAATTTTAATTTAAAATTTTTTTATATATTATTTTGATATAAGGTTTAATATATTTAAATATAAAATAAATAATTTTATTTTATAAAAATTTAAAAAATTTATAATTCAATTTTATTTTATTTTTATTTAAAATTTGATTCAAATCTAATATATAAATTTAATATCCAAAATAACTAAAAAAAATTAATTCAAATGTTATAATTTTAAATCAATTTCTGATTTTTTAAAATTTTCTTTCTCACTCCTAGTCGTGGTCCGTATAATTCAATTTGGGGATGGTAGTGTGGTACACAACGTGGGCGCACAGTCGGATGGTGTGCGTGGCTGGCAGATCATGAACTGATAGATCATAGAATCGGCTCGCCGCATACCGACGGCGGTGCTTTTAACATTTCGAATACTGATGGGTCCCATACTTCAAAAGATTCCTCCTTTTGTCCTGTTTTCTTTTTTATGTAATTTAATTTCACATCATCAATCACTGAGATCACTCTCTCGCCCACACTGGCCCTCCACTCCTTCACTCATTACCCCTCATTGTTCATAAAAAATAACATACCCAAAAAAACAAAAATGATAAAAAAAATCTACAAAATTACTAATTGATCTTCAATTTGTTAAAAAAAACAAAAGCTTGAGAAAGATTCCAAAATTATGCAATTTGATGGTTCTCAATCTCTCATCAGCTATGAAAAAAAAAACCAAAGGGAATAATGCAATGATATCCACGTGATATTCTGAGCCAAGATGGAAATTCTTATGGCAAGCATGACGATCAAGGTAGTGTGTCCATAGTCCGTACACAATTTCTAACATAAACAAATTTGGCGTGAACTTCTCTAGCTATACAGAAAAACTGTGAAAAAGATGCGTGTGAAGACATCTCTCACACCAAAGCTTCATAAATGTTTTAGGGACGATTGTCTTACAGGGTAGTACTAGTAGGATAATCATAATTCATGGTTCCCATTTCCCAACATTAAAAACCAATCACCAAAGAAAATGCATATGCTAGAATTTTCAGAGCCAGGCCAGTACAACTGAAACACTGGCTTGGAGGCAACTAGTATATGTTTCAAGTTTTCCGTTATCCATCGTTGCATGTTCAGTAATGATTGATCACACATTCTTGATGACATACCTTAAGGGTCGAGATAAGCGTAAACTTTAAGAAAGAATATTGCTGAACACATTTTGATGATATTAGCTACACGCTAGTTCCGACAATTGCTTAAAGCACACCAGTTGGACGGCACAAAATAAACCATGCATATCCCAGAAAACAAATTTCGTTGTAAAAGGATCAAACAGGCTATGAAATTTCTTTTGACCTTGTTGGTCCCTGAAAGACCAGAATGAATAACAAACCAGCTTTCTAGCTAGATGCCCCACATCTCATCTTTCCACTTTCTATTTGTCCAAGTCAATTTCCAAGAGGTGCCCTTCTTATGCATATCATGTAAAGAAGGTAAACCCCACCCTAACACCTTTTCTCCTCCTAACCCTACTACTGTCCCAAGTCCCATCCAACCCAAGGGGGATAAAAAAGGTAAACAAAAAGCTAACTTTTGATAACTCAAACCAAGCAAAATGGTGTGGGGAAAAAACAAATGGGCAAGGATAAACAAAGGAATAGGCTATCAAGAGGGTAATAAGGAAAGTTTTTATCAACATCCTCAAAGATGCTGCTTCCATTTCTAGAAGATGTTAAACAGTAACAATTAACAGTGAGATCACTAATTTCATCTCCAAGCAAAATTGCCCACTTCTTATGGGTTTATGTTATATACAGAAATACAACTCACCGTTAAATCTTGATGAAATGAGTGGTCAGAAGCTTTGGGATGGTAAAGCCATTGAAGGAGTCCACCTCGAAAAGTTCTTTAAGCTTATCATCACATAAAATTCTCCTCTTATCAGATGGATCCTTTTGAGACACACAGAAAACCATGAATAAGATTAAGAATTCACATTAATGATTTGACAATAATGTAGATAAAATTTCAAAAAGGAAAATATAACCATGTAGATAATGTGAAGCACCACAATTACAGGATTTATCCTATAACAATTGATTAAATGCAGCAGTTGTATGCACTTAGTTAACCACAGATAAAAGACTGAAAGAGACAATCTTGACAAGTGATACTTGTACGACAAATTGGACATGATTCGAAGCAACCATATCAAGATGAGATGGAGCAACATTCAGTAAAGTACACTGGCCAGTAACATTCTGTAAGCTTGATGGTTATCAACTTGGCCATGGATCAATTTCAGATTTTGAGGGGAAAAAGAAAAAAAACACAGGGCTGATAAGCTAATGGTTTTTCAAAATCATCATTAGAAAAGAAATCACAACGCCATTACAGTGAAGAGGATATATATGTATGGTACTGAGAGCCAAGATCTGCCCAACTTATGAAACGGGGGTAAGTAGCCTGGAATTAATTCATAAATCAGGGAGTTCAGCAAGCCATATTCAGCAGAATAACGTGTCTGAACCAAAGCTTTCCAATTGCCAAACATATACAACTTTTGGAAGAGGTTCAGTTACTCATAGCATCAAATGGAGATTTTATCATCCAAGCTTGTTACCAAAAATCAGAACCACAAAGTACCAATGATAGAAAACAACATAGGCAAACCTGCAGATCATTCTGTTTTATGTACTCCCACATTCTCTTCACAACATCAGCACGAGATAGTGCATTTTCACCAGTACCAAAAAATTTCACTAGAGCATCTGAAAGTGGAAGGGGAGCAAGAAAACCGGATCCTGCTTTCTTCTGCTTCTTTTCTTTCTGTTTTGGCTCATTTGCACCTGAACAGTTCAAAAAATGTTAGATAAATATCCTCACACCCATCATCAGTAAACCAAGGTATGTTATCAATTGCCTTAGACATGGGCAGCCAAAATCATGCACGACCCAGCAACCTCATAGCTAAAAGACTTGAAAATTTACTCACCCCTCTCTCTTGCTTGCTTAGATTTCCTTTCCATTTTTGTTGAGTCAGCATGAGCTGCGACATCAAGGAAAAAAAATTTTATTCAAGCAATGAAGACATACTTTGTAGACAAATAATAATTCAACAGAAGCAACATCCAAGTATAGAGTAATTCAAATAGTAATGCACAAGAACAAATCCACACAACAAACATTAAAGCTATCAAAGTTCAATATAGAAAAAGAATTTGGGTAACGGTTTTGGATAGCATGATTCAAATATCAAAAGCAAACCCTTTTGATGAAGATCCTATCAAATTACAAATGCTTGCTATGAAAGAATTTAAATATTTCAACGAAAAAAAACCCAAAAGAAAATATAAGCCCTTAAAGATACATACTCACCCTTCAAGCATAAGGTATCTATGTTAAACCTGAAATAACAAGGATCAGGATACAAGAAAGTAAACAGGATATTGAACTTGCACTCAGCAGACATTTGAAACAGTACAAATTTCTACTTTACAAAACGGTCCCTAACATAATTTTTCTAGGTTTTGTTCCTGCCTTCTCAATTATAACCTACTGGTCCTTTAGTTTACTTACAAAATTTTACATGGGCTGCGGATCTTCTGACAGAAATAACCAAAAAAAAGCTTGGAAAGAGAAATATGTTCCAGCTGATTAAAATTATGGCACATACAAAGAGATTGGATTCAGATATAGGAAAAGATATTAAAGTGTAGAATGTGGAGATTCACTAAAAGCAGTCACATAAACAAAAATGAACGGCTTAAACCAGGCTGAATGGACAATGTGTCTTAGAGATTCTCATATTAGTAGCTTGATGAACTTCAAAGGCAGTTGAGGCCAGAAACTAAATGCATAGTTTATACTAGACAAAAACCTCTAAAACCTAAAGCACCATTTTAATACACATCATTAAGGGAGAGGTAGTAAGCGTCTGAAACACCATGATGCAACACTAACAATCCCACATAAACTACCAAGAATTTAATTAAAAAAACTTGATATATAACTGAAATTTCAATTGCTGAAAGCTTAAATCCTAAGTTTCAGTATGTCAATCATCCGAAAAAGCTAGCTCCCCCAATAGTATGACAATAACCTATTTATATGAGCTACAGAAAACCCTATATCATGCCCGTAAATATAAAGCCACTATAAGATAAGCCCAAACGGTTAATATCCCTACTTTATGAATTTCTCTCTAAAATAAGTATTCTACAGAATCTATACAACACTCCATCACAAACCTATTTCTAGGTAAGACTAACATGCATACGGTCAATGACAGAAGAAAAGAACATAGAATGAAACATGTTCATTGTACACTTCAAACATGATAAAGTTAAAATTTAGTTTCATTGCATTGAAGGAATTAGCTGAAGAAATCAACACTTCAATAACACTTACAATTAGATCTAATTAACAAATTACTTTAAATCTTTTATCCAATTTTATCCCAACCTCATATGCGACATAATTGAGAAAACAAGTTTCCAAGTATCGGTTGCTATAATATGAATAGAAGAGTCAATGGATCCCTTTTGAAAGAAAACTCCAACTTTGGATTTATACAAAATAATTTTAAGGGGCCAAACTTAGCAACTTTGCAAATATACAAAATAATTTGAAACGGCCACCTTGTTAAAGCGCATCAATAAAATAAAAGTTATTCAGGCAAGAAGAGCCATGCTAGGCTTTGCCAACAAGATGACATGTGAGGTGAAAGCAAAGATTGAATAATATTTATATCTAAATCTCACGAGCTATAATATTTATATCTAAATCTCATGAGCTATAAGGGAAATCATGTTTAAGATGATACCATCTTCCTCATTTAATGGCCATATGTGTTTGGACAGAGCCTTGTTCATCTGAAACATGTTGATACTATTTACGCGAAAAAGAGCATGCAATGATTCGTCGCATAATATATTTCGTCTGTTATTTGGATCTTGCAAATTCTTCTCCCGGATATAGGTCCACAATCTCTTGACAACCTAGAAGCAAAGGAAAAAACAAGGAAGAAAATAACATTTAATGAGAATTAATGTAAAATTTTAAGTTTAAAAAGTTTATTTAGTTAATGGATTAACAAGTTGAAATGGTATTTTCTAAAACATTCTTTCAATACCTCTGTTCTGGCCAGCTCAGGTTCTCCAATAAATGCCTGAAGTTGTGGAGAAAGACTACACAACTTAGTAAACCCACCTCCTCTTCTCTTGACGTCTTTATCTACTTTAGATGGCCTACAATAATTTTGTTAAGAAACTTACATTAGCAACCAGTAACTTACAGAAAATCGCTCCAGTAGATTCTCAACAACAACATATTTCAGCATTCATCTATTTTAATTTATCTAACGGAACAAGGATAATACCAATGAAGGACAACCTAAAACCACAAGATCCAAGGAACATGCATATATAGTAGGTTGACATTGAGCATGCTAATAAATTTGACAATGAAAATGCATAACTTGATGAAATTTTTCCAGGGTACAAGCAAACATCAACAAAAATGATAGTCAGAAAATGGAAAAAAAAAAAACACCTTTTTTGCTTGCTTCCATGTGCATTACCCTCTTGTTCTTTGTCTTCTTCTTCTTCCTCCTCCTCCATCTGCTCATCCCTTTCCTCTTCTTTCTCTTCTTCCTCTGCATTTTCAGCATCTACTGATACAGAATCATCACTGTCTTCGCATTTCGTCTCATGCTTTACATTTTCTGAATTAACATTGATGGCACAGAGTTAATACTTAAACAACCACAAAACTCATTGCAAGTTCACGATAATGCCTTCAGAGGAAAGACATAAGAAAATTATAATATACCATTAGTGAAACAAAACTGAAGTTCAATGTGGAAGCCTGTTTGAGGAAGTTGAAGTTGAAATTGCAGAAAAATGTAAACTTCCTAAGGTAATCCAAGACCGGAAGAAATAGATTAGTTTGCACATTGGAAATATTACATATCACATCCATTAGAAAGAAAAATTACCTAAGAAAGCAAAGAAAACAACACACATACAAACTGCTGGCAGGACATAATCCCCACTATTGAAATTTTCTTCATCTTTCAGCAACAGATTTTTTTTGTTTTTGGGTATATTACATGATTCACGTGCAATTAATTTTTATATATGTTTCTATTTTATCATATCCTAAAACAACTATTGGAGATAGGTTAATGGCTTAGGTGCGCCTCAAAAGTGCATAGAAAGTATTATTTCACCATTATAACCATCTTCTACTAAAACTAGCAAATTATATGTGTTAATCTAAATTTAAAAAGACAGTGCTTTACAAATCCAACTGAAGCTTATCATTCAAATCAGCTACCACAAAGGAACCGTGATAAAGAATGATAGATTCCCTCACATTATTTTTTAGTAGTAAATGCAGAGAAAACCTTTTGGCAAGTTTAGAACTTGAGATCCATGTGTGCATGTGTCCAAGTGTCTTTGCATAGTAAAATTGGTCGATTGCAATGATCAATGTAGACATAGAGGGTCTGATCCCTTTAATGCAAATGGAAAATGAAATTACCCTCTTAGAGTTAAATATGTAAGTCACATAGGCAAAATTTAGAGAAAATGAACACTCATAGCGGATAAATATGAAGTGTGTCTAAAGAAAATACCATCTTCAGCACTTAGCGGCCAGATATGCTTGGTCAGGGCTTTATTCATTTGAAACATATTAATAGAATTTACGCGAAAAATGGCATGGAGTGATTCATCACATATAATATTCCGCTTGTTCTTTGGGTCTTGCAAATTGTTCTCCCTGATATACAACCAAAGTTTCTTCACAACCTAGACGCATAGTAAAGAAGAAAGCAAAAGTCAACTCTAGGATTTCAAAATTCCAACAATACCGTCGTGAAAAAGTACTACAATTAAGGGGAAAAAAACTAATACCCTTACCTCAGTTCTAGGCAATTCAGACTCTCCCACAACTTTTTGAAGCTGAGGAGAAAGGCTACACACTTTCTGAAAGCCACCACCTCTTTTCTTGACTTGTTTATCAGCTTTACTTGCTCTCCTACACAAAAGAAAAACAGGCAACAACCATCCACAATATTAATACCAGCAACTTGCCGCCCAAAACAACTATATATGGTTGCATTTCAGATGACAAATCATTCTTATATAACTCAATTTATCATTGCAAAGCAATTATAACCAAAAAGAAAACCCAAATTAACAATCTTTTTGTTAATTTATTTTTAAAAAAACAATTACTAAAATAAAAAAATGAAAATTTGAGAAATTGTTCACTTGAGAAATGAAAAGGAAAGACAGTTAACGCGCTTCATTTCTAATATAAACATATTAATTCAATAATACAAATAAAAAGAAAAAAGAAAAAACCCTGCCTTGTTTTTTGGCTTCCCTCTCCCTTGCTTTCTTCTTCTTCTTCTTCCTGTAGGTGGGAATTTTCAGATTCTGGTTCTTGTTCTTCTCTTTCATTTTCTTGATTTAGGGTTTCGAGGAAAATGTCGATTTGGTCCCTCACAAAACCTTTTCTGTCAGATAAGTCGACTCTGAAATCTTCCTCAAGTTGTCTCCTTACGCTACCAGCAGTAGCGGTGTCCAGGTCGGAATCCCGTAGGATTTCTCGGAGCCGGGCCACGAGGTCCGAATCCGATACCATTTTCATAAAATAAAAAAAGGAAAAAAATCTGGTTTTCAGGGTTCGTGATATTTGCCAGTATATTGAGAGAGAGAGGTTTTTTGAAAAGAGCGGAGGAGAAAGGGGACTGTCTTTTTCGAAAAATGGCGTCTCATGCAACTAAGCCAGGCGAAAAAAATTGTACAATGAAATTTGTCAAATTGTAAAAATCATCCTTCCGCTTATATGAAACGATAGGTTTATTTCAATTTAGTCCCTACACTTTCATAAATGCTAAATTTGGTCCAACTTTGATCAAGGAGAAACGGGCAAAGGGAGCCGAGTAAGGGGCATCTTGGGAATTTCACGTGCTTAGATAAACGGTTTGGGAAAGAAACAAGACAATTTGTTGGGTTTAGGGCAAGAATCCAAGTGTCTGGAGTTTAGACTTGGATCACTCTCAACCATTGGTTTGGGCCCAAACCTACAATTTTATTAAAGCTTAGGCCCTAAACCCGAAATTAAAAAATTGTAATGAAGTCTCGACTTTACTTACGTAATCCTAATATTTTAATTGAATAAATTTAATTTCTTATTAATAATTCTTTCTCAATTATAATTACACCCTCAGTCATTGTTAAACAGCGAATCATTCTGATGAATGTGCTGATCCATATTCCAATCAAAAGAATGAAATAATTTATTTGTATAATCCTATGAATCATCGTCCTCGCTGTAATCAGATGCACTATCGACGTTGATGTCTTCAGATTCGACTGCATAGTCATCTGTGGTAGGGCTACCTGCCTTTCAGAAAATCTTTCAAGTCATCTAATATATAAGGTTCTACCAGTTTCCAAAACCACAGAGAGTTGCTTCCTAGAAATCCAATCCAAAACACTATTCCCTTCCTCTTCACGCAGCAATTCAGAGATTTTGATTTCAATGTTTTTAAAACATTCTCAACACCTTCAGTTCTTCCTTTCAGCTTCAGAAGAATATCCCCAGATGATGTTCTGTAGCCCCCATACGCATATCAATATGCAAGTACAAGTGGAGACAGCCACCGATGAATTAACTTCGGGATCACTGGTTGACCCTTTGGCCAAAACTGGTATGCACAGAAACCAAAATATGAGTGGGAGATGGTATTGAATTTGTATGGGATCTAATCATTACAGTCAGCTGGCTTACAGGAAGGATGTAACCATTCATGGTATTGATCATGAATGTCCCTTCAAAATAGAATGTGTAACAAAATTCTGATTGAACTCAAATCGTGCCATGTGATTCTTCCTCTCTTCGAGTCTATCTGTAAACCACCTAACAGCAACCCCACTAAAATTTCTCGTTTTTCTTTGCTTAATTTTAGGTTCACAGGTTTCTTGACCTCTTTCCTACTCAAGCTAGAAACCTCTTTCCTACTCAAGCTAAGGACATAGTCAAGCTTCTCCATCAAGGTAGATTTCATAATTTCTCCAATCTTTGCATAAACTTCCATTTTATATACAATAGCTTGAGAAGGGGTATCGCCATCAGAATCAAGTCGTTTGAGCCAAGTTCTTTCGGCTTCCTCAAGATTCCCTTCCTTTGAACAAGCTCTCAAGATAGATACAAGCACTTCTCCTCCCTCGTCTATACCCGCTTCTCGCATCATTTTCCTTAGTGATTTTATCCTTTCTTTATCTACTGTATCCTGATAGCTATGCAACCAAATTAGACCACCATAGATATCCTTTTGTATCTCAAAGCCATTTGTTTCTAAATTGTGAAAGATAAACTCAGCCTGTTTCAGATAATATTTTGAAAAGCCTCCTGGTTTGCTTAAAAGAGCTCTGAAAAGTGAGTTATGCAAGCAAAGACGTGGTTGGTAACCACCTAACTGAATCATCCAATTGTAAATGCTACAAGCTTCATCCAGGCAACCCTGAACAGGTGCACTAAGATATGCAATGATCAAAATATGAAATGTAGATTCGCTAGGCACACATCCCTGGTTGATTATGTCATCAACTATCTCCCGACATTTTGTAAACTTCCTCTCCTTGCCCATGTATTCTGCTAGCTTGGTAGCAAGAGCAAAATCAAATCGATACCAATGTTGCTGCATCATCCACTTAATAGACCTGCAACATTGAAAAAGATTTTCATTCACAAGACTGTTTTACCTTAAAATGCGAGTCAAACCCACAATATACGATCTTACAATAGGAGAAGATAATTTACTTCAACTTTTAAATGAAAGTAGACAAACAAAACTAAACCCCATTTCAGCAGGACTCCAGGACACAGGAATTCAGCAATAAAAAATACAAGTTAGCAGAATCAGGAAGGAATCCAAATTTCATAGTTTTGGCATGCAGTAAAACCGCTTAACTTTAGAAATTACGAAGTTCTAACAAAACATTGGTATCTTCACTTTAGCAAAATTAAGAAACTTTAAAACATTTCCACCATTGCTTTAGCTAAACTGTCTTTTATCTTTGTTCTTCCTTTTCTAAGATCATTCAATTACAACACAACTTGCTCAATTAACTAAAGTATCAAAATGTGAAAGATTATCATAAACTAAAAATTCAATATATCACCTTTTGACCGCATCTCACTCTAAACTATGATATGAATTCATTTGTAAAACCAAGTAATTGTCTCTCTCAATTTTTTTAGCAATCATAGTATAAAAGCTATAACTTCAAACATCAAACTAACAAAAGAAAACATCATCAAAATTCAAAAAGAAATATTACCCTGAAACCGCTCTCATTTTGGCGAATTCTCATACAATGAACTGCCAAGTAAGTAGTATCCTCTTGACTTATCCACTTCCTCTGCGCGTTCAAAATCCTAACTAAAGTACCCGCCTTGTGAGCAGGCAATTCCTTGCAAAGCCAAGCAAGCTTCGACCTTCTCCATTGTTCAGGCAACTCTTCCAACTCCTTCACTTCCATCTTCGGCGCAACCAAATTCTTCATATGGTTCCCCGCAAAAACCCCATCACCATCTTCGAAAGCAAAAGATTCGTTTTCATTGTTAGAGAAATCCCAGTTCTCTTCCCCCTCCTTTTCATCGATGAGACTAACGGGAGAGGCCGAGGAAGAGGAAGAAAGCGAAGAAATGGTGGCAGCAAAATGAAGGGGGCAGTCGTGGGGTGGGGTGCTGGATAAGGTGGCGGAAAAAGCGGACTTGGGTGCGAGAAAGAGGACGGAAAAGGCGGAGAAAAGAGAGAGAAGAGAAAGGGTAAGCGCGAATAGGGTTTTGGCGGGGTTAGGGTTTAAGGAAGGGAAATTGGTGGTGATGGTCGTAAGAGCTAGGGATAGCTCTTAAGCTGGGTTTACTACTAGCATTTCTGCACATGCCAAACTCTTTTGTCTGAGATTTGTTTTTTGATCGTTGACCACTGACCAGGGCAAAAATTTGGGGCTCAAGCACCACCACTTACTTATTATATAATTGGTTGGGCCATAACCCATTTTTTTAATGGCCCTTGTTAGAATATCTCCAGGAAATTTTAGAATATGTGTTATGCCTCACTGTCCATGCTCAATATGGACTCAAACTTATCATATGACCAGTTCATGTAGGCCGAAGCTGGGGTTCATTTATAAATTCTTTATGGGTTTGCAGATTATTATTTATTGAGAATCTTGCTGGTTTGCTCGAGTTCTCGATTGGCAGCTGTCAAAAACTGAATCAACAACGTTCAGACAGGCAAAGTATTTTCGAATCTAGAGATCTTTCTATTTCTGTTTATGATTAACGCGTTTTGTCACAATCATATGTTGTTGTCATCCTGATAACTGATCTGTTAGCATTAAGATCAGCTCAAGGCTGATTTTCATCTGTCACAACTAGCCAACATGTTGGTGACACATGTTCAAACTCTCCAGATGATCATAAGGGGAAAGTTTTCTCTGGATAATATGGATAGCTCTTTCTCTGAGGGGTTTAATTAACGGAATCACAAAGGTTTCATTTCCGCCAAAGCATCAATGCCTGCCTGGGTTTCCCTTTCTGTTAGGGAAACGCTTTCCAGAAACACCAATAATTGAGGGTATCGTCCTTGTTGTCGATGTACTTGTAAATGCAGTACTAAAGCATGAAAAAGACAGTTCTCTAAAATGGTCACAAGGAAAACTATCTCATCTGCCTTTTCCTTTTTAATTGTTTTTGTGACTACACCATCTTTTAATCGGTTGTCCTTTTCTTTTTATTTATTTATAGAAAACTTAACGTTTTAACAAGACATAGTTAAGGTCATGTTCTCAAGTCCCTTGAACTTGAAGTGGACTTTCTAGCAAATTGCCCATTTCACATAGCCGATGCTCAAAACCAGGGTCGCCCATAGTTTGCCAGGCCTCAGTATGGAATTCCTCATGGTTCAATGATCACCTTTGGAACTCAAATTTTATCCAACTTGGTCACTTCAAGCTTTACGATGTATACATCTTCACATGAATAAATTGGTTTTGTAATCATTCTTTCATGTTTATTGCAATCTGCATATATATAGTCAACATTCAGCTACCTCTGGTCGTTTAAACATGAGAATAATCTGTCACTACTATACTATTTAAGCTCAACTAGGAGCAAGCTTCGTCACGACATTGCCTGGCTGAAAACCAAAGTTATTTGCATCTAAAATCTTTGGCTAGCTAGCTGGACTAGACTAGGGCAGAAGAAAGCTAGTAATTACTTCAAATCATTTTGTTATTGGTTTGCAATCGATATATTCCCAAGCCTGACCTTGAGACAAGGTACCCAAATTTTCTCCAAGACTACGAAGGGAGCAACAAGGCAACTTCAACTATATAATAATATATATCTCTTTCAAATTTTATAATTTTTTTATTAGATACCCTAATATGATTTATTTGACAATTTAATTGATTTATATAATTTTTTGTGTAAAAAAATCTTATATGACTAATACTTAGTTAGATACCCTAATTTTCTAGTGTGAAAGCTAAGAGTTGGTTCACTTGATAAATTAGTTGTGTCATTATTAATGACTTGGAATTTAAAATTTATCAATAATATATTTTTTTTGGTAAAAAAAATTTGAAAGTAAATAAATTGTTTAATTTTTTAAATTAAAATATGATGTATTGTATCTGATAATTTAAAATAAATAATTGTAAGTTATGTATTTAAAATAATTTTAATAAATAATTATCAATAAAATTTAAATTTAAAATTTTTTATTAAAAAATAAATATTAATTTATTGAACTAATTACTTATCCATGATATAATATATAAATCGAGGTTATACAACGAAAAAGATAATTTCCAACAGTAACATGATAAAGCAAAAGGTGAAGGCTGTGTAGTTTGTAGTGTGTGATGTTCCGCACCAAATCAAGGCTTCAAGCCGTTCACGTAACTCCAAACGAAAAGAGCTGCCCTCGTGAGTTGCGAAACCTTATCCAGATAAAACCTCCAAATCAGTCATTTTGTAACCAACCAAAAAGGGCAAAATTCAGACCGGACAGACACAGAGAAAAGATCACTTGTCTTTTGGTAAAAGTAGTCGGGACATTGCTGTCATTTCAACACACTTTTTCACTGATTCATGGACCAATCGTTGTGCACCTCTCATCCTCTGGGCTCTGAGAATTTCCGAAACTCAAAAAAAAAAAAAAAAAACCTCTTATTCTTCCCTCTTTCTTCCTCTGCTGAATAAAACAGAAACAGAGAAAGAACATAAAATGATAAAAAAAAAAAAAAAAGGAACCCAAAGTTATCAAAAGTTAGTAAAAACTTTTTATTTTGTATTTCTATAAAGAAAAATAGATTGAAATTGTAGCTTTTTTAAACAGAGGAAAGGAAAGTAAAATTTGCGATAAGAAAGACAAAGAAAAAAAAGGCCATAAATTTCACGAGCTCTCCTCTGTGTATCTTTCTAAAATCTGTCCCGATAAAATCTTCAAAAAAGAAAATAAAGGAAAGAATAAGTTCAAGTGGGTAAAGATTTCACGAGCAAAAACCCATTTCTTCACCAACCAAAACAGAATAAAAAAAGGAAAAAACCCGTCAAACGGTTATTTTATTGCCACGTCATTCCACGACCATCACCGCCTAACTCGATCTCAAACTGGGTTGTCTCTGAAACTACGGTATGATAATGTTTCATTTTTTTTCCTCTGTGGGGTTTCTCGTTTTAAAGGTTTGAGCTTTGTTCGAATAGAGAAAAGAGAGAAATGGATCGATCAGCAATAACAGTGGGACCAGGGATGGACATGCCAATCATGCATGACAACGAACGTTATGAACTGGTTAGAGATATCGGTTCAGGGAACTTCGGGGTGGCTAGGTTGATGAGAGATAAGCAGACTGAAGAGCTTGTTGCTGTTAAGTATATCGAGAGAGGTGAGAAGGTTAGTGTCTTTTATTTTTACTTTGAACACCAAAATTTTCTAAACATTTTAGTGCTTCTTTTTATTATGGGTTTCTCATGTTTGGGAATTCATGGTATATTTTTTGGTGGTTGAGAATGAATGGATTTTTAATTTGGTGAAGCATTAGGTGATTTGTTGCATGTAGCTTTTGGAATTTGAATTTTTTAGTTCATTGCTAGTTTTGGTGATCAAACTTCTTTGAATTTCTTGTTTGTGTTTATTTTGTGCGAATCATGCTTTGCTGTATTATTGATAGAGAAGTAAATGTTTTGCTATGGGTCATTTAGTTTCTCTTTGTTTAAGTTTAATTTTGCATCTGAACATGCATTCTGTTGATTCTACTTTAGAAATCTTACACTAATGGTTTTGAGTTTAGATATTAATTTGAGACGGCATATATGCACTTGCAAAATGCGTCTATGAAGAATTTGTCAGTTTGATTTTTTGTTCCTTTTTCGTTTTTCCTCTTTTTGTGTTGTGTGCAACAGATAGACGAAAATGTTCAAAGGGAAATTATCAACCACAGGTTACTAAGGCATCCGAATATTGTCAGATTCAAAGAGGTCTGTTCCATCACTAAAGCTTATTATCTTTTGTCACCATTGAGAAAGATTTTTAACTTGTGATCTATGATGCAATACAGGTCACATTGACACCAACCCATCTGGCTATTGTGATGGAATATGCATCCGGAGGAGAGCTATTTGAACGTATATGTAATGCAGGCCGGTTCAGTGAGGATGAGGTTCTTGTCCAATAGATACCACTACCCCCCTTTGTTTTTCCTGTTAGTGCTCTGGAATTTTCTTTTATGTATCTTGGTATATTTTGCAGGCACGCTTTTTCTTTCAACAGCTTATATCAGGAGTCAGTTACTGTCACGCAATGGTGAGTAACTTTAGTTTTGTGCCTTTACTTTTCTGAAAGAGAATTCAAGTTGACTCAGATAACTTTTGATGAATTCTTCTCTGAAGCAAGTGTGCCATCGTGACCTGAAGTTGGAGAACACATTACTGGATGGGAGTCCGGCTCCTCGTTTGAAGATTTGTGACTTTGGGTATTCCAAGGTACAAAATCTGCTTTTTACCATTTGCTTGTGCCATTGTAGAGTTTGAATTTTTACTGTGTTTAATAACCAAATATTATTGATCAGTGCATCAAAAGGTGTTGGCAACGCATGCTACTTCCTTTTAATGAGGGGTCCCCCCTTTCTTTCCATTTTTACTTTTCCCATCCCCTTTCTTCGTTTCATTTTCTTTGATTTTCCATATACATTTATGTTGACATAGAATACTTTTCCCAGTCCTCAGTATTGCATTCACAACCCAAATCAACAGTAGGAACTCCAGCTTATATAGCTCCTGAAGTTTTACTGAAGAAAGAATATGATGGAAAGGTATTGCTTCTTATTTTCCTGATTTAAACTTTCATATCCTTGTGGGGTGCAAGATCTGTCCAACCAAGAATGTTGTGTTCTCAACTAATAAGCTTCTGTTTTATTGTTTAAAAGAACTATTATATCCTTTCAGTGTGTAAACCTTCTTTTCCCATATTAAACCATTGATAGCAGCATTAAACAGCCTTCTTTTGTCAGTTGTTAATTGCCTTATTCTCCTGTCTTACTTAATTACTCTGGTACTATATTGTTTTGCTGACTTTGTGTTTAAAACTTCTCTGCCTGTTAATTCAGATTGATAACTAACTAACATCATGCCTTAATACAAAGTGGTTGAAGATGAACAATGCAAATCTCAGGGATTAGGCAATGTAAACTGCCAGGCACCACTTAAGAAAAGTTTGGCCTATGCCTTTCTCTGCTCTTATTTTAGTGCAGGTGTCATATATCTAATGCTTCTATGAAACATTCTTGTTCCATTGGGAGGATGCATGTTGTGTACGTGACCAGTTGCTACAGGTTAAGAATATCTACTAGGGAAAAGACAATCTGTATGCATCCTACCTGTTCTGGATGATTAAGAATACTGTCATTAGTTTAGTTCAGTTGACTCTAAAGGAAGATGTAAATATACAATATAGAAGGAAAAGTGAAGAATACTTTTGAAGTTGAATCATCAATAGTTGCTGCAATTGGATGGGATGAATGGATGGAGTAGGATATGAGAGGCAGATTAGAGCTGTAATCTGGCAGGAATGGTATTTTCTACTTACTTGCTTAGTCATCAGTTCTAGCAATTGAATCTTATAACAAATTGTTTTAAAAAATTCGAATGATGGGTAAATTATTCGATTTTTGCTATGCTCAAGGTTTTATGGTTGACTTCCTTACCTAACTTTAATAAAGTATTATGGTATTGCAGTGGTATAAGATCAAGTATGTTACATTCACCCTAAGCACATGCAGACACACTCTTTCTTAGTAAGTAATATACATGCTAAAATTTTCTTTTCCAATTAAATATGTCAGGTTGCGGATGTCTGGTCTTGTGGAGTAACCTTATACGTTATGTTGGTTGGAGCGTATCCTTTTGAAGACCCTGAGGATCCTAAGAACTTCCACAAAACAATACATGTAAATTCATTCTCGTTAATTACTGAAAGTGGCAACTTCTTTATAATCTTGACTAACATAATTGATTGGTTCTTGCAGCGAATTTTAAATGTCCAGTACTCGATACCTGACTATGTCTATATATCTCCTGAGTGTCGTCATCTGATCTCAAGGATTTTTGTGGCTGACCCAGCAAAGGTTAGTTCTCTCTTTATTGACGCCTGAGTTAATATTCATGCCTCTGTGATAGTTCATGGTCGGTGCTACTATGCCTCACAAGTCACAAACACCAACTATTGATGGTTTATGTTTTATTTCTCAAGGAATTATGTTACCTGAAATATCATAGAGGTTAATTCATGTAAGGTACAACTTTATTTTCCCATGGTACTAAATTCATAAATTCTAAGTCTAGAACTTTAATTTTTATTGCAACAGAGGATATCCATTCCTGAAATTAGGAATCATGAGTGGTTTTTAAAGAACCTACCAACAGATCTCATGGATGAGAACACAATGAACAACCAGTTTGAAGAACCTGATCAACCTATGCAAAGTGAAGATGAAATCATGCAGATCATCACCGAAGCCACTATTCCTGCAGCTAATACCAATAGTCTGAATCATTATTTGACTGGTAGCCTGGATATTGATGATGATATGGAAGAGGACCTGGACAGTGATCCTGAACTTGACATCGATAGTAGTGGTGAGGTAATATATGCAATGTGATTGTAACATCACCAGTGTGCTGAGAAGGCAGGTCATCCAATTTTCTTCCAAGCTTGTCTTTGGAATTTGGGTGACAGCGAGGAGGCTATGATATTTTGTTGGAAGTGGGAGAAGGTATAGGTGGGGATTTCTCTGTCAGTGAGAATCCAACATTTTATTGCTATTGCCTTCCAAAGTGAAGTGTTTCTGTTCTCTGTATCACTTAAATGTCCTGCCACTTTGAAGTGGCATTATGTACCGTTCTGTAGTCTTGTAACGCATGTAATTAAGTGTTGACTTTGTCTTTTACTGTACTGTCGTCTTCTTTGTTTACATTTGTAGAAAGTTTCTTATCGACTTACAGTTCATGAAATGAATCTTTAAATGCTAACATAAATGACTTCTGCTAACAAATGCCTTCAGGCATCGTTTACGGTGCAATTTAGGATGAAGATAAGTGCTTCTTAGGCACTCATTAGCCAAACAAAAACTAGTTATAACTTACCCTGATCTGGTGCGTTTTGTGCACGAGTTTCCTTTCTCCTTTAAAAGATGACGACGACGACAACAATAACAACAACAAAAAAGGAACATATATATTTTCCATGCGCAGCTTAATTTGTCACAAATACTGAATGCGTAATTTATGTATTTAACAATTCTCAGAACTGCCATTGCATACAAGGTTTTAACCAAAGTTAGGATCAAATCCTCATGATATTCTGTTCAGACAAGAAGACCATAGGGTCTCTACCAAAAACCCAAGGTTGAATGAAGGAAAACACAAATAAGGTTTCAAGCCGAACATCCCAAGTACCAACCTGTTAGATCTCCCCGCCAAATCCTTCTCCAATTCTGATAAATTCTCCTAAATAGCCCGCTCTGGCCAGTTTCTCAGTCACAAAATATAACCTGCTATAAGATGAGAGACATTAGCTATGCCATGAAGAAGTGCATATATGACCTTGGTAATTAGAATTTATTACTCATAGTAATAGAAAATTGGAAAGAAAGGTTGGTACAAGTTCAAATAACTAACTTGACAATCAGACTTCAGAAAATGGATTAATTAAAGGCATACTGACATTTATCATGTTTTCAGAGGGACAAATTCAATTATCATACAACTGCGGATCATGTGATAATGATTAACAGCAAAAGACAACTGCACAAACTACCATTCACTTTCTAAGTGATAGACATTATGTACAAATCCAAACACCTTTACCCGTTGATATTGCAGCTTATTCAATTTCAGAATCACTGCCATTTACCAAACTATTTGGCAACTCAGCTCCAGATGTTTTGGGTCTTCTATACCACAAAAACATAAACCATAGAGTCCTCCATAGTGCCCCATTTGCAAAGTGTGGAATGAAAATACGCCCCCAATATGGGTAATATGGGCCTGGCAATTTGATCAATGTGAAGAATATTGCAATTGCAATCAGGTGCCAGGGAACTACCGCATCCTGTAAATCAAGCCAAAAGATGAAAATATGTTATGTACTAAGATTTTATACCAAGGAATATTTACAAAGCTGATAATATCTATATTTGAATAAGTTCTATTAAGGATGACAGCAATAAACTTGTCCAGGCATTTCTCTTTGTGCTAGATTCCATGTGGAGCAACCTCTGCTGTAACTCAAAATTTATCAGAAACACCAAGCATCAAATGATGTAGATAAGGCATCCTCACAGTGGATGTAAGTAAATTTCGTACAATGTTAATAAGGCATCCTTATAGTCTGCTCAACTAGTGTCTTTAGGTTTCCAACATCCTTTATTCATGAGTGACAAAAATACATACCTTGAGAAGAGGAGAAAGCTCCAAGGCAGTTTCTTTCAAAACCCCTGCTAGTACAAAGCCAATAAGAAGGGGAACAGGTATAATAGTCAACTTCCTTTCGTGTGCACAGTAGGACATCTCACTAAGGGAGGAAACTGCCAGTAAAGGTAAACTTAGATATTTGACCACTGCCAGTATAAGATCAAGTATGAGTTGAACAAAGTTGTCCAAAGCTCTGTTCCAAGGGAATCTCTTCACTGGCTGAGGAGTGCTGTCCCACAATCTTCTAGCTTTTTCTATTATATGGTCCAAATTTATTTTTTCAGGATCATCAGACTGGCCTGTGGCCATATTTATAGCAGAACAGATACTTGGCTTAGAATTCTGAACGACTTGGTTTTGTTTCATGGTCAAACGAAATTTATGTGCTTCAAGATACTGAGTTGAATTCTGCTACAACAAAGTAAGCACACATAAAAAATGATAAATACTAATGTCTTCAAGGTAAAGAGAAAATAGGCAAAAAAAAAAAAAAATGTTGAACTTTAAGAATAAACATCACTATCTTATTCCCTTGTGATAAAAATAAATAAATAAAGATCAAATCCAGCCAAATGGAGTACATTGGCCCAAGATAATCTTGTCCAGGAAAGAGAGGATACATGAATTAAAGCGCACATTCAAATGGCCAATTATATTTTTAAAAGAAGAATAGTACCCGCTTCTTACTACAGAGATTGTACAACCAAAACTTTATAAGCAAATTCACCAAACAAATCAAGTAAAGAGAAATTCATCTCAGGGCCAAAAAGAACAGGTCATACCTCAAAGCACAATAAAAAATATAGCACTACCACAAAGAACTCTTTAAAGTGATTGGCAAAACAATTAAAGAACTGAAATACTTCTGCTAGATGAACAGAAGAATACATGTGCAAGTGCGACATACATATCACTTTTCATGCTCCTTTTGACTAACTAAGAATCCCATGACTACCTATCAAATTACAAACTGTTATCAAATCCCAGCACCTTCATTCTTTACAATGAATACAGTCAGATGAGACGCAACTCACCGAACCAAAGCTTAATACGAGAGGAATAACATAAAATAACTCGTTAAACGACCCCGTGCACATTTGTAAAGATTAAGACTAGTCGAAAGACAAAGTAACAAGGGAATAAAGCAGGCTAGATGAGTGAATGAACGTGAAGCAGCTGTAGAATATTGAATACAGGAAGACGCGTCATCTCAAAAGTAAACGATGATGCATCGAACAAGATTATACAATCCAAGACCCATTTCTAAAATCTAATTTTCAAATATCCAGAGAAAGATAAAGGACAAAAACCCACAAAAAATCAACCCAATTAAAAGCAAAATGTAAAATCCAAGATTCGGAACAAAATTAATTGCTAACGAACACGTACAGAACAAAAGGAGAAAGAGATACGCTTTACCTTGAGCTGATGAAGAAAAGGGGAATGGATTTTAAGATAATTTTTAGGGCAGCCATGGAAATGGATAGAAGCAGATAACAGGTGAGAGGAACATGGAGTGGTTGTTGCCATTTTAGATAACCTCAAAGACCCTTATTAGAGATTTATGTGTAAAAATGTCTTGAAAGTGGGTTTTTTATGAAGTGAACCAAGACGCCATAGACGAAATTATAGTGGGAGACTGGGAGGGATAAGATTAATCTCGGGGCTCTTTGCTTTTCTTAGAGCTTTTAGAGGAGAAAGAATCGGTTCGATTGACAGAGGGTTTAAGAAGAGGAGGCAGGATATGCTACTGCCGCGGCTCTTTTACGCATTCTTGAATCTTGCTTTGGATGGGACAATAATTTAGGGTAAAATACGTGGATGGTCATATAATTATATGGATCTTTTAAAAATTATTACTAAATTATTAAATTTTTTAATTTAATCACTAATGTTTGAGTATTTTTCTTTTGTCATTAAGCCGTCAATTTTCAACAGAATTTTAACTGCACACATTACATATAATGTCAATTATCGCGTGACATGTTAATATCATAAAAAATATCACACGATTAAAACTAATTTATTGTTAACAGTAAAAATTAAAATAAAATATGAAAAAAAATTTTCTGATAATAAATTTTTATTTCTCTTTCTTTATTTCATTATCCCTACCTCTCTAATCATTTTTTTTTTTTATTTCTAACAGATAAACTAAAGATTGAGACAAATAAAATCGATTATTGCCATCATCTTCACTATTTGAATCACTTATTTTCTCATTTTCCATTATTAATAAAATAAACAATTGAAAAAACCTATGAAAAAACAAAACAAAACTCAAATAGTCATATAACCAAAATTTTTAATAATTTCAAGTTTATTCATAATTTTTAAAACTCTAAAAGGAAACCAAATAATCAAAACCTTATAAAAATCTACTATTATCTCCACCCAAACCATCTTTTATTTCCACAAAACACTCATTTTTTTACCTTAAAAAATCAAAATCAAAACAAAAAAAAAAGTAAAAAAAAATAAAATATCAACATTTTTTAAAAGAGAAAGAAAAACAAAGTACAAAAAAAACCAATAAAAAATAAAAAGTGTCTAGTTTGGCTTGTTTCAAGGGGTTTTGAAACTTGAAAATTAGGAGAAAAAAGTTAATGATAAAAGAAAAACAAATTAATATATGATTTGTGATTCAGTTTGGAGTGACAAATGTGTATATATTTTTTGTTTTAAAGTCGTAGGACTAAATCCTAAATCTAAAATTTTTGAAGATTTTTTTTCTTTGAAAAACTAATTGAAGGAGTGAAAAGAGAAGAAAAAAAAGAAATTAAGTAAGGTAAATTTTAAGGCATTTCTAATACCGATGAATAACGATTAGCATAGTAAATGTGGATCGAAAACTAAGTTTTTTGAGTTATTTATAATTATTATTGTATTTTAAAGAGAGAAAATAAAAAGAAGAGAGAAAGAATAGGGATGAGAGAAGAGAAAAAGTAAAAAATATTGATTTATATATGCAGTCAACTAATGTGGTATTTGACAGTTAATAATGCATGTTTAGTCAATATTTTATTAAAAATTAATAGTTGAGTGAAAAAATATATTTATTCAAACACTAGTGATTAAAGTAAAATTTTTAATAATTTGATGATCATTTAAAAAGATTCATATTCTACCTTATAATTTATTAGTATACATAGGAATAGATAACAATACTAGTAAATTGTACTAATAATTAGTTAAGGAGACAAATCAACTTATTTTAGTACAAAATTTTTTAATTTTATACTTTTTCAATTATTAATTTAATAAATTAAAGTGATGAAATTAAATTATTTTTTATTATCTTTTTTATCTATAAATTTATTGAAATTAATTATTAAAAAATATAAAAAAGTATAACTTTTTATTTTGTAAAGCTTGAAATTTCAATTAATTAATATATTCTCAAAATCGACTTAAAAAAGATCATACCCACGTACGCCCATACACACAAATAAAATTTTTTTGTTATTTTAATGTTAGTGATTAATCAATTATTAATTCTGAAATTAAAAAAAAAAAGATAAAAAGATATGAATATTGTTTCTTTTAACAGTCATGTGTTCTATTATTGATAAAATAGTAGTTTTATTTTTTGTGATTAGAGTTTAATTTTTTACAATTTCAAATATCAGTAAAAAAAAAAAACAATGGTTAAAAAATGAAAAAAAAAATTTACTGAGTGCTAGGAATCAAACCCCTATCTTAAAAAATCTAACCCTAGATTAAACCTCTAATTTAAAGTACATGAATACTATATGGCGCGCTAGAGAAAAACAAAAAGAATTTTATTGTTAAAAAATTGTGCATATATAACTTTGAAAAGATTTTGTTTTTTTTTTTTAAAAGAAACTCTACTTATTGGTTAGGTTATGTTGTCTACTAAAAATATGTCAAACAAAATCAGGCAGTTGTTTTGGCAATGTTCAAAGAGTTGAAAAATGGGTTAGGGATGATTCTAAGGTAAAAAAGCTAATTATTTAGACAAGGGAATCGTGCCATCGGATTATCAAAAAACCAAGTAATGGTAATTCATTCAGAAGCTTTGGGCAAATCAGGTTTTTAAACTGAAACACAATGATTGATTTATGGGGTTTCTAATTTCATCTTCCAAATTTCCCTTTGACATCTCATCAAATTTTTTTTTTAAATACTCACATTATAAATATCAAAATTATCTTGTAATAAATTATAATTTTATCCTCTTCTTTTTCTTTCCTTTTTTTTTTTTCTCTTTTCATCATTCTTTCCCATATACCCGATTAAATCTGATTTTTTTTATGATTGTAAATATTCATTTTTAAAAATACAGCATAATTTTTTAAAATTTATTTTCAAAAATTATGGTTTATTTTTTAAAATTAATTTTTGAAATTTATACTGTATTTTTAAAAATGAAAATTTTCAAAAATCAATCTAAAAGGCTTATGGAAAATCAATTTTTTTTTCAATTTACTTTTTTCTCTTTTTTTAATATTTATATTTTTTTATATTTTAATTTTTTTAATGTCAGACTCATTAGATATTATTGGTTAAAAAATTATTTTTTTAATTTTTTTATTTTATAATAAGGATTAACTTAAGGTAGGTCAAGTTCTTTAAACAATCGAAAACGTATTTAAGATATTTTACTTTTACTTACTTTGAGATATATATATAAATTATTTTTTATTATTTTTTTAATTTTATACATATATATGTATTATATTAATAAAATTATTTTTATCTTAATTTAAAAAATTAATATTTTAAAATTAAAATGAAGCGTCAATATAAAACCATCTATGAATTATTTTTATTTTTATTTTTCATTTTTTTAATTTTTAATTTATTTTTTTTATTAAATAAATTTATGAAAAAATAAACCAATTAAGATATCCACATATCATCTTTATTTATCTTTATTTTTTATTTTTTAATTAGATAAATTTTAAAATATATATATATGGTGAAAAAAAATGACAATAAAAAAATTTTACTCATTGCAACGCGTGGGCATCTTTCTATATATATATATATATATATATATGTATATTAAATTGAAAAGTTTCCATACAAAAATTTTTTACTCCTTTACTACATCATTATCCGAGTAATTTATAATATTTATCATTTCTAAAAATTTGAATCCAACAAGTATTAACTACTTAGGTTGCATTTGAGTTTGCTTTTAACATTGGTGCAGCGCAAATTCTTTGCTTTTTGCTTTCCTTCCCACCACAACAATCGTTTAGATAACAATAAATAAATGAGATTGTAAATTTTAGATAGCAACATTTTCAATTGGAATGAGAAGACTCTAGTGGAAGTTCTCACCTCCACTCTCTTCCCCTTTATATTCTTGCTTTACTAATTTTTTTTCTTCTTTCCCTTAAAAGAGTATAGTGGAGGAACACAAATGTCCCAGTCGCTTTGCCTTTTATTATTTTATTATTATTTTTTAAAAGTTTCAAATATATTTATTAATTTAATATAATAAATGCATTTTTATAATTATATAATAAAATCATTAATAAACAAATAACTAAAAATTGACTAAATACATAAATAAACAATATATTCTATTTTTACTGATTTTTAATTTTTAATTTTATATATTACTAAATAATAAATAATTTAAAATTTTATTATATACAAAATTTAATTTAATAAACTTAATGATCATTTTCTTTTCTAATTACACTTTACTTAACCATCACCACTACTTTTGAATCAAAAAATATATCTCGTCACTTATTCGAATTTTACTGTTATAATAATTAATCCTATCACTATCACTATTTTCAATTTTATCGTTCATCCAAATGAACTCATAGTATCGTTATTATTATAAATAGTATTTCATTTTAAATTTTAAAACATTGTATCTATTATTATTTTTACGATATAAATACTTTTTATGAAAACTATTTTTATTTTATTCTATTAATTAAAAAATAAGACATATGTTAAGCTTTTAATATAATTTCTGTGAGTAAAAATTTATAGTGACAGGGTATCAATTACTAACTTTGTTATTATTTATATTGTTTGTTTAAATTATAAAATTGTTTTTCTTTGTGGTCTACAAATTTGTAGTGTTATAATCCAAAAAATATTACGATTTATTAAAGGTAAAAGAATTTGTTAATTTTGCTATTTATTTTAGTAATTATGTTTTGTCTATTACTTTATTGTTTTGGCTAAAATAATAAAAGAATTCTTAAACTTTAGTATTGATTTAGATAAATCTCTTTTTTTATTACTTTTAAATAAGTCATTAACCTTTAATTTGAATACAAATAAATCTTTAATCTTTAATTAGTATTTCAATAAACTCTTAACTTTTAATTTGTACTTACATAAACTATTAATATAAATTAATATTTTGTTTGAAATAATGATTTATTTGAATATAAATCAAAAAATAAAAATTTATTTGCATATAACAAAAATATAATAACTTATTTAAAAAAATTAAATAGTTTAAGGTTTTTTCTAGTCATACGTAATTATGACATAGATTTAAATTTTCAAAGGTTAGTTTTAGTAACGTGGCTTTGAGTTGGTGGCGTGTGGGTCTACTTACAGTGTTTTTTTTGTTTTTTTTTTTGGGAGAGGATGGGAAGGCCTTGTCCCTACATCTTATTTTATTAAGCATAAAAATACTTTGTATAAAAAATATAATAATATAATTGAGTAAAATTCAAAAATAGCAATGTTATAGTGGATAAAACAATTAATGTGTCCCTAATTTTTTTTTTTTTTGGATTAGCGACTTAACCTGTTCTTGAGATAGGATAATGTCTTATACTCTTAAATTTTTTTGTCAATAAAAAAAACAAT